GCACGTTGGTATGAGCGAATTATCCTCCTGATCTGTTTTGACAAAACCTTGCGTTCATGTTTGCATGTGGCGCTCCTGCGATCGTCCAACAAGTTTTGAAAAGAACCTTGCGTCCAAGGAGGTGTCAAGGACGAATTTTCCTGCTGATTCTTGTGTTTGTGTGCACGGCTCCTGTCACATGCAAGCGCTGCTGCTCTCACAATTTGTTCCACCTCAGAAATGGAGTCAGGCTGTTTGCCCAACATGTTTTCGGACAGAGCTGCATGATATTCATTTGGTACTTTGTTTTCGTCCAACTCCGGTTTCCAACCACGTTTTGTTTGCACATAGCGTTTCCGCTTGAAATGTCTACATGTTGGGAGCGACAGTTGCGCATAGACTGCTCGATGGTCAGAACCCAAATCAAATTTGTCGCATGCATGGCATTCCATAAAGGAAAACTGTTTCGGGAAAAGGATGTAATCGATGCGTCGCTTCGCTCCCATGGAGCTGCAAAAAGTCCAAGTCGACATTCCTTTTGTATGATTGGTATCATCATTGCCGATTTCCAAATGAAAATTGTCCATTAATGAATACAGCAAATCACTCCTCAATCCAATTCCCAGTTGCGCATTGAAATCGCCACCGACCACAACTAAATGTTTCCGTCGGTGAGCATCGGCCAAAACAAAGTTCAGTTGTTCATAGCAAGCATACAGGTCGGCATCCGCATATCCCATATGAGGCATGTAAATAGCAATCAGGCGAACCACTGACTGACCATAAGCAAGGTCAACATACATCACACGATCAGATATCGATTCACTTTTCACAACATTGGGCACCAGCCTGCGGTGAACCAATATCGCAACGCCAGCTGCAGAAGTCAACTGCGAAGATGTGAGCAGAGAATGGCCATCAATGACCGCACCCGTATGCCCGCCATCCCGTGTCTCACTGAATAACAAGATGTCCCAGGTTGACAAATTCACCTCGCATAGCAATTCACCAAAACCACGTTTCCTACCAAGTCGTCCATTTTTGGCAAAAATTGCCAGTTGCATGGGACCGTCGCCATCGACAAAATTTTCATGCATATGAATTCGAGGAGTCTTGCCAGGCTCATCAACTGTCTTCGCAGGTGTTGCTGGCTGTTGTGGTGAAACGTTTCGACTCGAACGGCGGTGTCCCTAATGAGCAGCCATCGCTGCTTTGCTTTTGCCTCCACCCTTGCCACGTTTTTCAAGAACGGCTTTGCTTTTCCGTCCTATCTCCACCAACTCTTGGCACTCCTGGAACTCTTGCCACTGTGCCCACTCATCTGCCCATTGGATGTCTAAATCATGTCGTGAAATGACAATCTTGACAATGACCTTACCTTCGATGGACAACGTGTCATCTTGCGAGCACGGGCTTGCAGTGGCAAATCCTGAGTTGCCCACACTCGTTTCTCACCCATCATGATTGTATCACTTCGCAACAAAGCAACTGCAGTATCCCTGTCATACACTGACCGGAACTTGGCAAAAAGAAGGCCTTGAAAACACGATGATTTCATATAGGTGCCGCAATGGGAAGGTCCATTCATGTCCTTCAATTTTTCACCCAACCAGGCCGTTGCTTCTTGCAAAGACTTCAGTTGCTGCAATCCTCCAATCACCATTGTTTTGGCGACATCTTGCTGGACATGGGGCTGGCCGATTTTGAACGAAGAAAACTGGGCTTTCAAATCTGCTAATTCCTTCTCATGTTCCTCAATTTTCCGCAGGCTGTCCGTAGATCTGGGCGTGGTAGTGTTGGAGCCAAACGAGTGCATCATTTGCTCCAGTTTTTCAATTTTCACATCATGTTCCATGAGGTGGTTTTCCACATTGCCTAACCTTGAGGAAACATTGGTGCTAAAATCCGTCAACTGAATCTGCAAAGGGGCCAAACCTTGGTGGATTTCATTTTGGATGATTTGTGCCATGGTTTGTGGCGACATGTTTGCTGGAAGCATTTCATCCTCAGCTGGTGTCTCCGGAACCTCCTCCACAACGTCATCATCTAGTTCATGCAATGGCGACGTCAACCGACGACGCTGTGATGGTCGATCTGGGGTCATCGACGCCATCCGCCCGGAGAAGCAAAAAGTGGATGGAACGTGTTGTTATAACCCCTGGAAACTTGAGCCTGGAAACTTTCTCTTGTGCTGGCACTGGTTATTAATATAATATTAACAATCTAAATTACCCGTGAAACCCACACAAAAGGACTCAGTTGCTGGATGTTGCGGTCATGCCTCGTTTCCTGTTAGTTTGCTGCGCTTTAAATTGGGCGACTTTGACTTCAAGTGGAGCCCATGTTGCGGCCATTTTGGATCGAAACGGTACACATGGATGTTTTGTGCCGATGTAAAACACGTGCAGGTTCGTACATTTTTCGGCGCCCGCGCGAAGATGCTTCTCGCAGTTGAAACCGCGCCGGATCTACAGACCGGTCTGCTGCCAAAGTACCACGCCTTGGTGCCTTTGTCGTGCGCACATCGTGCGCGGATCGTGCGCGCATTTAAAGCCCCGCAAGGATTGTATTAAGTGTCTCGAAGGTGCATTTATTTTTTTGTTCATGTATCCTTAGTCGTTTTGTTTTTCTAAGGCAGGCTCTTTTAGGGTGCGCCTCGTTTATCCCCTAGCAGCGTAAACTAATGGGATTTTCAGCCCAAAATGGCTCCGGCGTGCACTGGTGGAGGCGCGGGGTCAGGTTCAAAAAAAAAACCGGATAAGGTTCACAAGGTTGCGGAGAAGGTCAGGGAGGCTTTGGTGCAGAGCCAGGTCACGTTCAACAGGGTTCCGGAGAAACTTCTGGTGAAGGATTGGGCGGCTTTGGTGCAAAGCCCGGTCAGGTTCAACAAGGTACCGGGGAAGGTTTTGGAGAAGGTTTGGGCTTGGGAGGCGTTGGTGCAGGAGCGACTTCAGGTTGAACAGGGTTCGGGAGAAGGTTCCGGAGAAGGTTCCAGAGAAGGTGTGGGAGGCTTTGGCGTAGAGCCAGGTCAGGTTCAACAGGGTTCCGGACAAGGTTCCGGAGAAGGTTTGGGAGGCGTTGGTGCAGAACCAGGTGTTTCCAGCGCTTGGTTTCGCAGCACCCTTCATAAAAATGTGCACAAATAAAGCGTTGCGGCTGCTGGGGATACCACCGAAACTATTTTCAAAGCGGATCAAACTGCCTGAAATTGTTGAAATTTTTTTGAGCTGGGTGCAGATGCCATTAGACAACTCATTGAAGGTAGAAGAATCTTGGATGACCGGCGATGATTTTTTCAAATTCAGGTTTGCGTCTCGGGTTGCGTCTCGGCTGGGGTCAGAACGGTGATTTCACCATGCGCATGGTATTCGCATATGGTTTATTTCCCTTGTCCTATGTTCTTGCCCTCCTGGAAAGTTTCTCTATGCGCAGAAAGAAAACATGGAAATGCCATCAGACAAATCTGTCTTAAACGCGTCGCTGATCAGTTGAACCGACGTGTGATGTGCAGGCCACGAGGGTTTGAGGGCAGCGATGTGTGAGAGCTGGACGGAAGTAAAAGGGAGTGTAAGAAGGTAGGGGGTAGGAGGGTAGGAGGGTAGGAGGAGGAGAAGTGAGGGAAGAGCAAGGTAGGAAGGTGCATGGTAAGCTTTGGGGTGTGGGTGCTGGTGCTGCTGCAAGTGCCGGTGCCACGCCGCTGTTGGGTGCAGCTGCAAAATGTCTTCTGGCAGTGTGCTTTGGGGCCTGGTGGCTAATACCGCGGCAGTGTGCTGCTGCGAGATGACAGTCGTACGGCGTCACACAGCAAGACCAAAACGCATATGGTTTCGGGTGTGGAGAAAAGGGGCATTACAACTACTCCTAGTGTGGCACCAAGGGATGATGGCAGGAGGGACGCTCGAGGGTATGTGACCTGCAAACCAATTAGGTTTGCTCCCGCTCTCTTATGTCACCCCTCCTACCCTCCTACCCTCCTACCCTCCTGCGTGCCCAGAACGTGATTTTTTTTTGGTCTACCGGTTTAGATTTTTGTTTTCAAATGAAAATTGTTTTGAGGAAATAGTATCGGGCAATAAACACAATTTATAATTTCAATCCAAACGCCTTTTGAACTTCACGCAACGGAAGCAAGTGTCCGAAAGAAAAACGTTCAGTCAGAGCGTTGATGGAGAGCGCGTGGAAAATACGGAGGTGCGTTGCAAAAAATCAGCGCGTGGGTACCTAGCTGGAGTTACTCTTGCTTCAGCAGGGGGGGGCGGGTCTGAGTCCAACACAGTGATTTTTCACTCGAACCCCCTTCCCCCTAAGCTCCAGGGGCATTTTGAAGCGGTGTTGGAAGCAGATGGTCACGGGCTCAATTCTTGCCATGCCTCCAGGCAATCTGTATTCAGCATATCAAATACCCATCAAAATCCTTTCAAAATCCCATAATGTTACCAGGCTCATATTTAGTTTTCGTTTGCCCGTCCGCTTGGGCCTCAAGTTTCGTTTGTTTCGCCGTAATTTATTTATTGGGTGAAATTTGTATACGGCGACCTTTTGTGAAGGGATGCTGCCAATTAATTTCAATACAAATGCAATTTTTAGTGAATCACACGAAAGTGTCAATTGTGTCAATGGTTCGTCCGCGTTGTTTTTTGCCGTTCTTTTTGATTTTTTCTTTATTCAGTATAGCAATATAGCGGTTCCAAAACATTTTGTACTCGTTCCAAGCCACCCGCTCAACATAAGACTGATGCGCACACACACACATACACGATCTTTTCATACATATTTGAACATCCAATTTTTTACATTGTTGTTTGGAGGTGAAGAAATGTGTGATACTGGGTGAAAATGATGCTAATCATATTTCGAAATTCAAAATTTACCGTTAAGTTTTTATTTAAGGCAACTGCAGGAACACACATTTTTTTAAATTGTCGCCAAATGTCGCTCACGTGAATTCGAATGCAACTGTGTAGAGTCTAGAGCTAGGCCGCCTCACAAGTTTGAGATTCCTTCGCAGCATTTTTTTTTTTGTGGGTGACCCGACTTGCACAACCCAGCGCTGCCATGGGGAAGATGCTTGTTTATTTTTGTTCATACGTTGCTGTGCAGATGCTGAGGAGGGAATGAACATGCCAGTTTCATGACGTGGTTTAGGTTTTCTGCCCTGTTTGTTGCGAGAGTTCGAGTCAGAACTTGATACACGCAATGTGGACTAAGGAAAGGGAAGGGAAAAAAGGGTGGCAAGGCTGCCTCGGTTGACAACTGCTTGTTTTGTGGCCATGGCCTGGTTTGCCGCTGCTAGCCGTTGTTGAATTCCATGATGCCTATGCGCTGGAAGGAAGCCCTTGGTGTGCCCTTGGCACCTGCAGGAGAGGATAATTACATGTGCTTTGGACGCACGTAGTTGGACCAAATTGATTTAGTACCTTGACAACTGGTTCATGGGCAGCAAAGTACGGTTTTGAACCAAAGTTTCCGGCAGGGGATGGCAACTGAGGCATTCATCCACGCATTCTAAACATTTATGTTATCAGACTGTTATCATCCATGCGCTTCTTTGAGATGTTTGTTGGTGGACAGCTGCCTGCAGTGTGCCGATGTGTATGAAAGTGTAAATTGTGAGCGCACGGCACGCATATGCCAAGACATTGGAACATGCATGTGTACAGTTGTATGATGTTGTATGTGCATCACATGCTTGTGCGTGTAATATGTAGCTGCACATAGGCATCTGAGCACGCATGTTGGCATGACTCATGTTTGTTTGCTCTTGTGCCTCTCAATGCGGTGCCACGGAACGTTATGCAATGCAATGTAGTTGGATGCGACGGAATGTAAAGTATACACTCAAGTATGCATTATACATGGATTGTATTGGCATTTTTTTAAATTTAGTGTAGCATCATGTCATTTTCAAACCTGGACAGGACAATTGCGAGTAGGTGTCAGAACAGCCCGCAGTGGATATAGCTGGGGTGTTGACATAGGGAATCTAACCATAAACCCATCTTGAGAAAGTCGACCCTTGCAAATGGTGATCTTCTCAAGATGGATTTAGTTTAGAAATTGTGTTCTGGAGGCCCGCTTGATCTGTGAGTGTTAATGTTGTTGAAGGGACTTAGACTCAGACGTTGCGTTTGATATGGTTGCCACATGTTGCCAGCAACAGTCATGGCAAGTTCAAATTCCGGCCAGCAACTTTGCTGGGCCCAAGGTTCCTCAGCATGCAGGCGCATTGTGCATGTTGACATCAGAGGTTACCGGAGTCTGATTTCGAGCCCAGGAACATATGACAAAGGCTTTTTAAGACACCACCTGAAAAAAACCGTGGAAAATGAATCAAATGGTGGTGTCAACAGCTTGCTCTTTACTCTCTTTACTTCGTTTGTCCTATCGCGTTGCGCGTTGAGAGGTGGAGACTTTGGAACGTGAATTGCAAGTAAAGTCTGCGCAAGCGGAGGAGGCAAGTTGGCTAATGGGTGAATGAATTTGGTCAAGTCATGCCACGGCAAGGGTGCCACCACACTTGCATTAGATTCATTCGTGTCTCAATTAGATTTAAGTGATTGAAGTCTGGGATGCTCCTATGGGAAACCATTTGGACCAAAGTGCCGGGTTTTTCTAGGGTGGTTGCCACTTAGATGCTGATATTGAAAGTTGCTTCACTTGGCTGTGTGCAGGCTCAAAGATCTGAACTGGAACTAAGAGCCCGGGTCTTGCCCTTGGTTTTCCTGCTCATCCCTCTTCCATTGAACGCCAAAAGAAACTCCAGCCCAGTTGCACATGGTCATACAATTCATTGCCTTGGCTCGAGCTGCAGTATAGTCACAAAAAATTGTGCGAATCTTCGACGATTGACCATGGACGCTTGGCCACAAGCGGGAACTGGAATGCAATTTGTAAAGTCTTTGCCATCCGGTCAGTGCCATGGAAGTTCTTCTTGTGCGCTGGAGCGGCAGAAACCATTGTGAAAGTGGAGGTTTTAGGTTGTGCTTAGGTGTGCTTTTGACCCCAGTGTCTATCAATATTTCGACCATCAGCTTCATTTAGTTAGCACTGAAGTGTGCGAGCTTGTGCTGGGAAACCCAAGGCGACCTTGAGCAGTTGGCCCGATTTTGGGATACTGAACCACTAAGGGACGTCGACGAGTGCTGCGGCCACTGGCAGTGCTGCTGATGGCAGCATATGCAGCAAGGTTTTTCTATCCGATATTTCCATCGCCATATCTTGAAGTGTTTCAGCGGTCAGACAAGCCTTTGTATTTGAACCTGGCCAGATGGGCTCCATTATTCCACAAAAGTATCAGAAACGAACATGAACATCGATCGACCCCTGGATTCTCCAGGATGTATCTAGTGGAGTTTCTTTTTCATTCCTGTCGCTTTGATAAATCAGGAGCTTCATGGCACCAGTGGTCCGAAACGTCCATATGGAGGCGTGTTGCCATGCTTTAAGAAATCAAGTGCCGATGAAGGCGCTGCCAGGCAGATACGTTTGTAAATTTGTGATGTCTCTCGCAATTCAGTGTTCAAATTCAATGGCAGTCCTGTGCCACAAAAAGCCATTCCCTTTTCCAGACTTTTGCATTCTTCTTACGCACTGAGCAGGGCAGCGCGTTGACGGGCACAACGCCCACACTAGCAGATTACCCACCAGAAACGCGCACCTCCCGCCGTGTCGGAATCCCAGAGAGAGAGAGAGAGAGAGAGAGAGAGAGAAAGAGAGAGAGAGAGAGAGAGAAAGAGAAAAATGACACCCACTTCTTCGTGGGCGAAGCTCCATGTTTACCCCATTGTGAAGTTCGTGAAGTTCAGCACTGCTCTTTGAGCAGGGCCAGCTCATGAATAAACTTTTGGAATGATAAGTGCAATTACGACACAAATTTCAAGGAGTGCTTGTGATAGCAAAGTCCCTGTTGCCTGAAACGGTGACTTTCCGAAAGTCTGAGATGCAATGCGCTGTAAGGTGATTGGCTGAACCATCGGAACTGTTGCGAATCTGATCTCCTTTGCCGCAGGGCAAACTGTGCCATGAATAGATTGGATGATGGTTTGGTTGTGCTGATTGCTACGAAATCCAAAAGGTCGGTGTTGCTGGTGTTGATGTCGTAGATTGTCATGATCAAACGTTTCTGGGCTCTTTTGGCAAGCTCTTGGTGAGCTGCAAGGATGATACAACCGGCTGCGGAGTTTTTGGATTTCTCCGAATCTGCAGAAAGGCGGGGTGGGGCTCGAAATGCAGGAGAATGATATGATTCGTAAAGGCTGAAGGCGCCATTTTGATACAACATCTGGACTAACGCTTCCCCCAATAGGACTAGAAACAGGATGCCGAAGGTTGCATTGAGCAAAATTCCGATGTGCCAAGCTAGCCAACCAGGACGGAGAGATCGCATTTGGCGATGCCTGCAACAAACCTGCTCCTGCTAAAGCTGGATAAGTCAAACAAAGGATTGACAGGGCAGGAATTTTCGGCACTTCGTGTACAGACATTGAGCAATTCGACTGCCAGAAGATGAGATGTACATCATTTATAGCAGTTTTTGGGAATATGCAAACAAACAAATAGGTAGATAAACAGATATAGATTTAGATATAGATATAGTATAGATATGGGTATAGATACGTATGGATATGGATATGGATATTGATATGGATATAGATAGATATAGATATAGATATAGATATAGATATAGCTTAGATAGATTAAATATAGATATAGATATAGATATAGATAGATTGATAGATAGGTAGGTAGGTAGGTAGATAGATTAGATAGATTAGATATATTAGATAGATTGGATAGATTAGATAGATTATATAGATTAGATAGATTTGATAGATTTGATTAGATCGTTTAGGTGGATTAGATAGATTAGATAGATTAGATAGATTAGATAGATTAGATAGATTAGATAGATTAGATAGATTAGATAGATTAGATAGAGTAGATAGATTAGATAGATTAGATAGATTAGATAGATAGATAGATAGACAGATTAGATAGATTAGATAGATTAGATAGATTAGATAGATTAGATAGATTAGATAGATTAGATAGATAGAATAGATAGATTAGATAGATTAGATAGATTAGATAGATTAGATAGATTAGATAGATTAGATTAGTTAGATAGATAGCTAGATAGATAGAGATAGAGATAGATAGATAGAGATAGATAGATAGATCGATAGATAGATAGATAGATAGACAGATAGATAGAGATAGATAGAGATAGATAGAGATAGATAGAGATAGATAGAGATAGATAGAGATAGATAGATAGAGATAGATAGAGATAGATAGAGATAGAGATATAGAGATAGATATAGAGATAGATATAGAGATAGATATAGAGATAGAGATAGAGATAGATAGAGACAGATAGAGATAGATAGAGACATAGATAGAGACATAGATAGATAGATAGATAGATAGAGATAGATAGATAGAGAGAGAAGAGAGAGAAGAGAGAGAAGAGAGAGAAGAGAGAGAGAAGAGAGAGAAGAGAGAGAGAAGAGAGAGGAGAGAGAGAGAAGAGAGAGAAGAGAGAGAGAAGAGAGAGAAGAGAGAGAAGAGAGAGAGAAGAGAGAGAGGAGAGAGAGGAGAGAGAGAGAAGAGAGAGAAGAGAGAGAGAAGAGAGAGAAGAGAGAGAGAAGAGAGAGAAGAGAGAGAGAAGAGAGAGAGAAGAGAGAGAGAAGAGAGAGAGAAGAGAGAGAGAAGAGAGAGAGAAGAGAGAGAGAGAAGAGAGAGAGAGCGAGAAGAGAGAGAGAGAGAGAAGAGAGAGAGAGAGAGAGAAGAGAGAGAGAAGAGAGAGATGAGAGAGAGAGAGAGAGAAGAGAGAGAAGAGAGAGAAGAGAGAGAAGAGAGAGAAGAGAGAGAAGAGAGAGAAGAGAGAGAAGAGAGAGAAGAGAGAGAGGAGAGAGAAGAGAGAGAAGAGAGAGAAGAGAGAGAAGAGAGAGAAGAGAGAGAAGAGAGAGAAGAGAGAGAAGAGAGAGAAGAGAGAGAAGAGCGAGAAGAGCGAGAAGAGAGAGAAGAGAGAGAAGAGAGAGAAGAGAGAGAAGAGAGAGAAGAGAGAGAAGAGATGGAGAGAGGGAGAGAGGGAGAGAGAGAGAGACAGGACAGCCACAGAAAGGGACAGGACAGGAGGGGAGCAGGACAGACAGGAAGGACAGGAGAAGGACAGGACAGGACAGGACAGGAGCGGGACGGGGACCGGACAGGAGACAGGACAATGGACGGACAGGACAGGACAGGAGAGGATCAGACAGAGCATCCCCCCCTACTTTTAATGAATATGATTGTGTGTGCAAATAAATAAATAAATATATATATAAATAAATAAAATTATATATATATGTACATATATTGCAATCGGTGTATCAACACTTGTCAGAGTTACCATTCATCTCTCTCTGCAGTTGAGTGTCGCAGCTGCCCATTTTCACTGGGACTTCCAGTCCTGGAGTTGAAGGGTGTCGCAGACACTGTCTACCAAGAAAAATTTGGTTTGATGGGAGCATCAGCCCTAAAGCGGTCAGGAGGAGCCTACGAAAGCACATCTTTTCCACGATTCCAGCCTTCAATTTCCAGTTTGTACATCACCCTTGCGGCTTTTTAAACTGCCAAAATTCAGTTGCTGCAAATACAGCCTCCGCGAGTGACGCGCGCGTACCTTGCATGGTTTTGAGGTTTGTGTCGTTTTCAATCGTTTGTGCAGTGTGAAACAGTTCTACACACATGGGTAAGTTGCAATGTCAATATACATACATATACGCATACATAATGCATGCATAGATAGATTGATACATTAGATTAGATTAGAGTAGACTAGATTAGGTTAGATAAGATTAGATAAGTAGATAGATAAGTAGATAGATAAGTAGATAGAGAAGTAGACAGATAAGTGGATCGATAGATAGCTAGGTAAGTAGATAGATAAGCTCAGATATGATCAGGTAAGTTCAGATAGGATCAGACAGGATCATCAGATAGGATCAGATAGGATCAGATAAGATCAGAGAAGATCAGATATGATGAGATATATAAGATGAGATCTGATTAGGTAAGATTAGGTAAGATTAGATAAGATTAGACAAGATGATAAAAGGTTAGACACGATTAGACAAGATTAGATAAGATCAGATAAGATTAGATAAATAGGTAAGGTGGCTAGATGGCTAGATGGCTGGCTGGATGGATGGATAGATAAATGGAGAGAGAGAGAGAGATACATACATACATACATACCTACCTACCTACATACCTACATACCTACATACCTACCTACCTACCTACCTACCTACCTACCTGGATACATGCATACATGCATGCATACATGCATACATGCATGCATACATGCATACATGCATGCATGCATACATACATACATTAATTACATTAATTACATTACATTACATTACATTACATTTCTTTACCTCACCTTGCCGAGTCATTTCATACCATGAAAAAGGTACTTGCAACAATGCCAGGGCCAGCCTTCACTACATCAAGGCCGCTTTAAGGAGCATCATTTGATAGCCTTTTCTGGGGAAAACAAGGCATGACGCTGAAACTGGCTATGGATTTGACCAAAATAGTCGCACTTTTTTTTAGCCGTGCGCTGATGGCGGAGCTTGTGGAGTGTCAGCTGGTGTTTGTGAGTTGTTCGCAAGACTGTGAGATGAAAAATGAGCTGCCAGGCCCCGTACACACAAACATATATATATACATACATGTTTTTTTTCAGATTTCAGATTTCTATTTTGAACCATGTTGTCCTCAAAAGTCTGGGTGACCTCACATTGGGTACCCTGGGCGAGGTAAAATCGTTTCCCCCCAGACCATATACGTGAGTCGCTGGGGATTGACCATATTCCAGATGACTGTACTGTATCCACAGCTTTGAGTAGGTGATGGAAATTCCATGACAGGAATTCGTAGCACCTGACCTAAGTACTTAACTTTCAAATCTTACGGGTCTTCCTCAGCATGTCTCAGAGAGACTGGTCGAATTTATGCCTCAAAACAGCACCTGAGGTGGAGCAGCTGGACACTCAGGGATAGTGAGTTTGATGTGTGATTTGGATCCGAAAGGTTCCCAGGTGGCCAGTTGTGAGGCAAAAAAAGGTCATACCCCAAGCGAAGATCCTTTGCAGACATGTATTTGTTGAAACTCAGGATGGAAGAGGACTTCAAGCAGGACCTCGATTGAAAGGGTTAACCTCAATTTGACAGACGCAGGTCATGTTGATTTTGGTTTCGATTTCATTGAGAGAGAGAGAGAGAATGCGAGCCGGCAAACCCGAGACTATGGGTTGCTGGATTGCAATTGGGTTGGAACAGCACAGACGCAAAGAAATGCAACGACGCTTCTATAGCCAGGTAAGAGAAATGGACTGGGATTATTTCTCAGATTTATGGGGGATTTCTGACGGTGCCGGAGAAGTGTGATTCAAGTAGGGCCAGGGGAGAGGTTTTGCAACCTACAATCTGATTGCATACGGACCATCTATCTATCTGTCTGTCTGTCTGTCCAACCAACTTTCCAATGCTTGGATTGGTATTGGCACCTTGAGGAGCAGAACACCACGTATGCCGTCACTGCAGACATGGCACGCCAGTACAAGGTACCTGAATTGACATGAGGTGATTGCTGCCGAACATGAATTTTGTTCATCATCTTCAGCACTTAAAACTTTGACTTTCTCGCTGAGGCACTGCAAGAAGAGCTGATTTACAAGATCAACTCCTTGGAGCCTCTCCGATGGAAGGGTTGCGTGCACAGTGTAACATTCCAAATGCATACAAAATTGCCATGCCATTTTCGAATATTTTCCAGGAGATCCAGCACACCGAGCAGAGGGAAGAGCTAGACATCACAAATCATGAGCTCAAGGACGGTGACGAAGAGTGCAGGGCAGGCAGTTGGAATGTGGGTGTGGTTGATAAGTCAATACGTACACTTTTTGTCCTGCAAAAAATCTGGCGCTTTCCGTTGTGAATGAGCGGGGCCAGGCACAGCGATACTCCGCCAGTGTCGACAAATAGAGACAACTCGACTACATCCAACCTTAGGGCTAAAGGGGGAAGTGACACAAAGAACTGTGCCCACTTCACTTTACTCAGCAATAGCCCTGGGGCTTCACAAAGCAGACCACACGGGTATGAATTTTAGTCTTGGTTGAGAAAAGGTATTCTAGGTGCCAGTAGTCAAAGTGAACCAGGGGACTGGTTGAAACTGGGGGATGACTGTGTGTTTGCTAATTCGTTTGTGTTTCAATTATATTTTGGACGGCCTCAATGATGCAACCCATAACAGCTGAATTATACAGCTTAAGTCAAGTCCAGATATGTGGGGTTTTGCCATCGGGCCGTTGGACATCGAAGGAGCTGACCTTGGTCAAGGCTGTGGAGGGAGAGGTTTATCTGGGATTTTGTATACGGATTGTACCAATTTTGTCGTATCCAACTACTATGAGTCTCTGGGATGCTATGCTTCAGGAGAACCCGCTATCCGTCATGCTTCTGAGAACCTCTGTAGTCTTCCTCTTTGTTGTTTCGCTTGCTGTTCCCAGGACAGGACTTGTGTCACTTGCAATCTGCGGCGTGACAGGATGCAGATATTGAAAACAAAGACCAGCAAATCAAGCAACTCAGTTGCATCATTTGAGGTCTTTGCAGACTTTGGTGCTACCATCAATGCTGGTCTTTTCATTCAGCATGTGATCCTGACCCCGCTTAAGGCAGCTCAATGAGCGCATGAACGATATGTCAGCTGAGTTCGCAAACATGCTCGCTGAAACCCTGGACGGGGGGGGCTTGATTCTTTGACCCTCAATGACTGTTTGACCGTCTCAAACTGGTTTGATTCGTTGCCTCTACTGCAGGACCTGATGAAACTTCACATCAATGAGAAACTGTCGGATGCTGCCTTGGGTTTCTCACCTGCATTCTTTGTTTTGTTTTCGATAGGCTTACATCATGTATTCCCAGAAGTTTGTTATGCAGCTGAACTTACTGGGTTAGAATGGTTAGAGTGCTTCAAGCACTTTGCTTGCTTCATTGATGAGGTGACGCAGATGCTTCCAGACCAGACTTCACTCAGCGCCTACAGGACAAAACCACAAGACATACTGTTTAACCAACAGCACTGAATAATGTACGAAGACTTTTTTCGATCGTGCTACTGAATGGATCTAATTTATGCAGTGCCACGAGCATACAGGGCACACCATATTTTACCATGTAATGTCAAAATTAAGTAAGTATATGATATGCGTGTATAAGTGGGTTCTTTTCCAAACCATCACACACACACAGGCACTATGACTATTGCTGCAGGTATTTTTGAATGCTTTGTGTGGGAAGCTCCCCTGCTAGGGGCCTGATCCCAGTATGTTTGCCAACAATGCTAGCCTTGTGCTGGTAGCGATGATAACATTTGGTCCAGCTTTCTTCCTTAAACGACTTCAAGTTGAATGTCGCCAGGGGCCTCCATAAACCATAGAAGGATTGAGACTGAGACTTTCATTGCTGCAAGACTCAGCATTCTGACCGGCCAAGTCTGGACTGCCGAACCAGTTTTCACTAAACTGACATGGCCAACTAGTTCACCGTCCAGAAAGGACGGATATCATCCCGCAGCCCCAACAGAAACAGAAGCAGTGGAAACACCAAGGCTCCAAACAGTACCAGTCCATACCAGTCCATCGCATCCAGGATTTCAGCAACAAGGCCTACAATGCCGTGGCGATTAGCTCTAAGAGCGACCATGGCAAGGTGGGACCGCGACAGGTTGATGCCGTGATTTGGCTAAAACATTGTGTTCACAGTCTTCACATCGCAAGGGAGACCTTTGGCCTTGAAGAGACAGAGAGAGAGAGGGAGAGAGAGAGAGAGAGATATATATATATAATATAATATAAAATAATATTATATAATAATATATATATATAATGTAATGTAATGTCATAATATATAATATAATATAATGTAATATAATGTAATATAATATAATGTAATATAATGTAATATAATATAATATAATGTAATATAATGTAATATAATATAATGTAATATAATGTAATATAATGTAATATAATGTAATATAATGTAATATAATGTAATATAATGTAATATAATGTAATATAATGTAATATAATATGTATATATATATATATCAATCAAGAAAAATGAGACATATATTTTCCAAGATAAACCACACATAGCTCCGTTTTTGAGATGGAACCGTTTGGCAGGCTGTGTGTGACATGTGTGGCTTTACTTTGTCGCAGGCCTTGCCTCCGAGTGATGGATGAGCTGCAGGCCATATGTCAAAGGACAATTGCTTGTCATGTGCCCATAGGAACTGTCGAAGAAGGTGGCCTTCGGCCAAGGGTTTGAACGGGTTGGACTAAGTAAGAGTCAAGAACTCACAAGTCCTTTGGAGAAGCAAGTTGGTACGAGGCCAATATGCCCATAGCATTTGAGGGATGGTGTACAAAGACGAACCAAGATGAACAGCTGGGTGCAGTTGAGAAGCTGTCTCTAATTCTGGCAGCTTGGGCGCTGTCTTCCAAGGCGCTTCACGGTGCTTAGTGAGGACTTGCTGCCCACATGCTCAGGAGGCTGTACAGAGAGGGTGCTTCAGAGCGGAGCCATCAAGCAGAACAGAGATGAAGTCAAGTGGTGGGCGATCAACATAGTCTCCTAGTTTTGGAATGAGATTTTGAATGATGTCAGTCCACCTGCGCTCAAAATGACGCAACATGACAGCAACTTCAATTTCTTGTTGTCATTCCAGCTCATCCAGAAAAATGCAAGGCCAATTCGTTTCACACATTCTGCGAAAACTGCAGGACTGCGGACAAATGGCAACAAATTCTCTCACTAGAAGCGCGTGTCTGCATCGCAGCCAATTCTGTGAAGGGAAGCCTGCAAAACAGATCGGTGCACCACAAATATGGCAAGCGTAAAACCACCGGTATTTGCTCACCTTGCCCTTGTTGCACTTCGGCCCTTTGTGCAGCAAACTGGGCCAAAATGTTACTGAACGCCTTCAAATTCAAGTTCATACATGCTCTGCATTGTCACGAAGAAAGAAAAGGGTGGAACCATTAGCTCTGCTGAACTCATTGAGAAGGCGATAGAGAGCGAGAGAGAGAGGTTCGGGTTTTGTATCATGAATCAAACAGAAAATTGCAAGCAAGCAAAAAGTCCCAAGGTGGCTAGCTATACAGTTCTCCCCCAAATAAATTAGTGTAGCTTTCATGATGGGAGTAGTGTCTCCGCCATGGCTGTGGTCAACTGTTGGCACTGTGTGTGCGGCCCTCTATGCCGCACTTCATTTTGGCAGTCCTTGTGACCCTTTCCGTGAAGGCGCAACTGATGCGTACATTCAGGGAACTGTCTCTCCAAAAAGCATCCGCAAAAGGGACATGTTTGGTGCCATGGCAAGTATCAGTGGGCAATCTGATCAACTAATCGAAAATGGCGCTTGCTGGAAAAGTGATTGTATTTTACTTCTGCAAAAAATTACCGCAAGACATGGAAGGACTTGAAGCACTCCAGTGGTCCATTTCTTGGTCTCAGGGTGGCCGGTTTCACTGATTGGCCCAGGCTGAAGCCCAGAGGAGCGGTTCCGGGGTTTGGGTGTGTCCCAAGGTCCTAAGGAGTCTTAAGGCAGTCGAAAAGATGCCAAGCAATGTCCAACAAAGATAACAAAGGCACCCCAGCTGCCGTGGAAAGATCGCGGTGCAGGTGTGAGGTGCCAGTTCCCAATGCCTTCAGCTGCCGCGATTTGGAAGTCTGGGGCCAATTCCTGGAACTCTTGCAGAGCAATGCTGCTGCAGGTGGGAAGCCTTGGCAACTTGAGGGCAGCTGCGTTGCTGCGTTTTCCAAGCATTGCAAAGTCTGCGAGAAGCCTATTTTACCCATTTCGTGCATCTCCCTTTTACAGGTCTGTATCTTACATCATGGCTTTTGTAAGTGTTGTAAGTGTTTAACTCTTGTAGGTCTTTGCACATTTGCCATTCATGTCTAAGATATGGAGAAGAATGGCAAACTGAGTTGCGCTTCACTGAGTCAATTCCCTTCATGGAAATTTTCAAACTCGGTCCCTCCAGATTGGTCCGAGAAATTTGGCCAGGATTTCCCTTGGACTCAGAGCTCTTCGAAGTGGCAGTTGCTCGGCTGGTGCCGCATGGCCACATCCCATCGCCTGCTGTTGACAGCTAAGGATATTCTAGTGGTTCAGTTCCAGACGCAGCCTGACGAGGTAATTTGGGGCGGACTGGGATTTGTAAAGAGGTACTCCGGGGATCTGCTGGGGTTGAATGGGTATGATTTTGCCAAAGAAATTGGCAAATTTGGTGGTGTGTTTTGCACATCAAGATGCTGATGAAACGCTTGCTCACAGCTTTAAGGTGACAATCTCAGGAACAGTAGCAGGATTGTTTCCAGTCGCAATCCAGCAAACGCTACTGCAGCTGTCAGACAGGCACACCCTCCGGAGGGCTTCTTCAACTATTTATGTGGCGGTCCAACTGAGACGTGGCTTTGCTGCAGTTGTTATATGAAGATTCGGCCGCAGACTCCAACTTTGGCCTTGAATGCCTGCCTTGGTCACGCGGATTCAAGAATCACTTCTTGATGCCTGAAGTCTCAGTCAGTGTAGCTGAGAAAAGATGAGAAAAGCATATTAAAAGCTAAAAAGCAAAAAAACCTTGGCTTCTGCGGAATGATTTTGACCTCCGACTGTCCATTTTGCTTCGTCAACTTGCCATGGGCATTTCAGTTCCTGTCACTTCGAGTCCCTGTCCATCCTTGAGGTGGCCACTGCCAAACAAGCTGCCATGCTGCAACAAATGTGGGCAAGGGAATCGCACGAACGAGGCAGTCTCAATACAATTCAATACAAACTTGGACTTGCGGACACAGAAGTCCATCACTTGTTGTATTCGGATGTGGTTCGCCACCGTTCCATTCTCATGCTGATGTGTTCAAATGAAATGGGGTGGGTTCTGAAGTTGTATTTCAAACTACTAGTGTCATTTAATTTAGTTCCGCATGTTCCACTGGCCGCATGAAAATCAGTTGAGGTTCTGTTTGATGGGTTACGCCAGTGCACTCTTTGTGCGCGCACGGCACTTGATGACTATGGGCCAAGCAGAAAGGGAACCTGCCAACTCTGAGCCTTGCCTTGTCATTGTCCTCCATGCAAGCTTTGGGGCGAACTAAACCCAAGGAGCAGACATACTTTATGGAATCTTTATGGTGATACTTTATGATGGTGGATCAGGTGGATCCCACATTTTTTTGTGTTTCTTTGCCTTTTTGTCTGCCTAGGTACATGCATTCTTGCATTCATGCAGACGTACGTACATGCATGCGTCCATACATTACATTGGATGACATGACCTATCCACGCACATGCAGACATGCATATGATTCATACATAGTTCCAGACATGCATGTATCCATACATTACATTGCATGACAAGGCGTTGCACTGCATTTGGCTTCATTGCATTACACGATACAATTACATTTATGTGCAAACAATCAGGAATTGTCTGCGGGTCGACGTTTGCCCATGAGCTTGTCTAGCTAATGCAGCTGGAATTGCTCAGATCAGATATTGTCCTGTGACGAAAGAGTGGATGCGCTGGTGCCATCCAAGGACTTGGCCTACATTGAACCAATCCTGGGGAAAGAGCCGCCTGCACCAACGATAATGTTGTCCCCTGCAAGGCTCACCCACCAAATTCATTCGTATGCGTTGAAGGACGAGTTCGGACAGCCCGTGTGATTCTGCATGTCTGCTCCGAAGTGGCAAGGGCCGAATGAGATCACAGGTCTGGTGGATAGTTGATTCAAGCCGAATCTGGATTGTACCTCAAACAAAAGGAGGTGGTGCGTTTAGCATCCATAAGAATCATGGGGCATAAGGGAACAGATAGTTGGATTCTTGCACCAGCAGCGGCTTGCCAGTGTTTGGAAGTGCATGTGATGAAACCAAGGATTAGTTTGGACTTCCTAGATTCTTCACCCTGGCCAGTATCAATTCTGGACGTCTTCCTGAACATCAACCAGACAGAGTTCTTGACATATGCAGCTGGACATTAGATTTCATGGGAATCGCATATTGGCTCTCATAGTTGGCACCCTCGCAGTTCCACTGACCGTAGATCTACAGCTATGTAAGATGGATAAGGGATAGAGGAAGGTGTGCTGCCACCTCCCAGCCTGGTATGATGCTGAACCTACGATGATCCCACTGCAGGATCTTGTGATGCCTTTGCTCAGGCACAGTATGCTAGCAAGAATTCAGTGCGTGCCCCTGCTGTTCCCTTGGAGTCGATACACTGGCAGATGCCCGCGGATATCATGGAGAGGTGAGACCTTTTGGAGCATTCACCCAGTACAGCCGTTGAATCCTCATATTTGTTGCCTTCTGGAGCTTTGTGGCACGAGTTTTGCTGTAGATGAGCAGACTGGCAAAGCCCAAGTTACACTGAGTTGTATAAGCATAGGTCTAGCAGTGAGTGTTAACAGTGACTGTTAGCCAGAAAGTGACGTGGTTGAAGGTTGTTTGCCTGCGTCAGGCTTGCAAGGCAAGCAACGCCCAGAGACATTTCAGTGGCGGTCTTTGGCACCCATGCGACACTCTCCCTGGAACCTGTGGATATGCTAGGTCGTTCCCAGAAGACGCTTGGCAAGATAAGGGTCCCATAAGATTTGCGCTGATTGGGTACATGCTCAGAAAGGAGCTTGTTTGACCTGCGAGGCTTTCTGGGGTTGCTTGATTTGCAGTCCTACTGCAGGGTTAAAATGGGAAAGTATTGTATCATGCATTGCAGGGCGACAGGTGGTTAAAAGTTCGTATTCAGTGAATTCAGTGCATCCAAGATGATCCAAGTTGTATTCAGGATCTTCAAGCTCAAGGCCACTTTTTTTGGTGTGGCCCAGGCCTCAGCCCAGAAAGATGTATGGCAAAATATCAAAATCACAGCCCCAGTTCTCCGGATTCTCGACCATTTTGACTCGACCCCAGAGCTTGGCACGCTTTCAGCTGGTTGAGTAGGACCTTGGTTTCGAAGTGAGAGAACAAAGTGCCAGGTTTCAATTCTCTGACGTCATTTCGACTGACGTCATTTCGACTGAGGAGCCTCGGTGGTGTGAAATCTTGGGTCTGTGTGACCTTGGTGACAGCGGTGTGACACGCCTTCTACGAGCTGCCGGGGAGGACGTACATTCTCCGGGTGATGTGGCTGGATGCAGGCCATGAACTTGCAGTGGAAGCGAGATGTAGAGAGAGAGTCTTCAGGTGCATTAGATTTCAAACCCTTTGCAAATCTCTTGGACAAAGCAGTGGAGTTAGGTTTCAGCACAATCATTTCAGATTATAACTTGCACTGCTTTCTCGGAAGCTCAAAGTCCATGTATCTCTCTGAGAGCAGCAAAACATGACCTCTGCGGAAAGCGTGGCGGTAGCTTTGAATCCTGATGATGTGCATTTGAGATTTGTGAAACGTCCTTCTGTCATATAATATATCTTTCACATTCTTTCACTGCAACCCCAGAACAAGTACCGTAGTAATAAGTAGTTGAAGGATCTGGCTACGCTATAGGCCACACACGTATATGATACAGTACAGACACACACACACATGTATATATATATACACATATTAAAGATTATTAAAGCATATATATATATATATATGTATATGTATATATGTATATATGTATATATGTATATATGTATATATGTATATATGTATATATGTATATATGTATATATGTATATATGATATATGTATATAATATATATATATATGTGGTATGTATGTAACTCGCTTCATGAATACACCTGGATTACCTTACTTCCTTGGACACTGTTTGGTGGTCTCCAGGCTTCGCTTGACTTCCAGGACCCCTTTGCGTACCCATGGGACCTGATGTCCAAAGGCCTGGCAGCAGTGCCCTTGCAGAAGTACGCCCTCCTGATCTGCACCGAGCCGGTAGCAGGTTGCCTTATGTTACGGCAGTGGCTTGAATGCATAGAAACTGAGATGCATGGTTGAATTGGTTTGACCCTCTTCAGATAACCTAACATAACTATTTGATCATGACCGCAGTTCAGTCCGCATCTTTCACAAATGCTTGGAAAAGAATTTGATTTGAAGCTTGTGAATCATCGATGGCTTTTGGCTCAAGACGGATGAGGATAGGCCAAGTGGTGGGGTCTAGCCATGAACAGGGACTTCAACGCTGCTTCGCCGGTGTTGAGAGAGGCAGAGGTGCGACCCCGAGAGTTCAGTCGCAAGTCATGGATGGGCAACCGGTGGCTCCTTGGCTCCGAGAATTTGCGCGACTTGGCAGCAGCAGCAGGGCTGCAGTGGCACCTCCTCGGACTATCCGCTTGGATGCGGCTAGGAGTCGCTCAGATCCGAGACTGTTTTTGCAAGAGGCTCGGGCCGCCCGGCAAGACATAGAGGAGGCAGAGAGAAGTCTAAAGCTCCTGGTGCCAGCGGCACCTCAACCTAGTAATGTTGGGTTGATGCACACCGGACTGATGCCGATGGTTCCGGCCTCATCCTTTCAGATCTGTGCAGGTCTGTCATGGAACTTGCAAAACAAGACAGAGCACCTTGCTGCGACTCAGATAGAAGTTGCCCATTGCAACATCAACTGGAGATGCAGCAGAAGGACATTGAGATGGAACGTAGGGAGATGGCCCTGCAGCGCCGCGAACGTGAGGTGCAGCTGCAACTAAGCTGCAAGCAGAACAGCAGCATTTGCAGGCAGCAGTCGCAGCAGAGCCTGAAACGGTACCTGCGGCGACGCCAGACGCTATGGGAGCAGCGACTCCCAGCATTCTGGCTCCACGTGGTGCGCTGTGGGAGGAAGGCAGAGAGACTCCGGCGTTACAGACGCAAGCAGTCACTTGTGTGCAAAGTAAGACGAAAAGACACGCAAAAACACAGGGTTTCGGCACCGGACTCCTTGAGTCGTGGAAGGGTTGCCTAAAACATCGTTTCGGTTGCCTGAAACATCACTTCCCATAGTTTGAAGTCAAGTTGGCCCTTCCGCCAAACACTGAGGCGATGCACGGTGTGGTGGTTGCCGAAGGCGATACGCTCTGGTGGCTTTCCGTCACGTACCTGCTGCTGTAACAGTGAGGGTTTGGACAACTGCATCCCTACGCTGCTCTTGTTGATGGCGCGCTGCAGAGTACCCATATGGAAAATCTGGAGAGCGCTGAGACGAAAAAAGCTTTCAAGGAAGCGGAAGGCATGGAAAGGTGCCACCAAGAAATTCGTGTGGGACGAGATCAGGGAAATCTTCAACAGGAGTTGGCCGTGGCCACAGGGCACTGATTCCAACTCTCCGGACGATGAGCTGCAGGTTCCGGAAGGCATTTCGCCAAGTGAGATGGCAGCCAAGATGCGGCATCATGTGTACTACATATTTATGTATTATCAAATCTCACACTATCATATTCTAGACTCCATGATTTTCCATTCCATCTTGATCTATCACACCTCATTCTCTCACATGAACCAATAGCGTCCCATATCCATTATTTTCATTTTCGATTCTTTCATGTCCCCCATGTCCCGTTTGGCACAAAAACATCAGTTTGAAGCGTCTGGTGCGCACAACTCCTTCGTGCTTTGGTGCCGCCTCGTTGCCGGTTACCAAAGTTTGGCCAGTCATTGGCCACTCTCGAGCAATCGCTCCTCAACGGAGTGGCATTCAAATACGAGCAGCCTCGTCTGAACTGGCCAGCGAGGAAGGTGCAGGGAGCATGCCTTCAGCTGGATGCCTGCGCTAGCCAACTCAACGTTGTACATGTGTTCACCCTGCAACTCGGGCCGGTGTGCATCGTAAAGCTGGGGCGCAGCAGCCTTCCGAGCCTTGTGTCGCTGCGTACCTCCAGGATCCGCCAGTATAGCAGCGAGTTTGCGTCGTGCTCACGACCAACCCAAAGGATGCAGTGCTCATTGGAGAGACTCCCCACATGCGACTGAGGAAGACAATCAAGAATGTTCATTTTGCCTCCAGTTCGCCCACGTCGAAATTCAGCAAGGAAACGTACAGTGCCGAGCACGTCGGGCAGGTTGTCCAGACACTTAACATGGAGGATCTCCGTCAGGTAAGATCGAGACTGCTTATTGCGGAAACTCACGCAGCAGCCAGAACAGCATATAGGAGCTCGATCGATCTGGGAGGTTGGAAATACAAATGGGACGTGGTTGGAAGGACCCAATTTGAAGCCCATACTTAGTGCAGTCCAGCTTGACAGCTGCATACAGTGGCACCACGACCAAACAGACCATTTTGCTTCCTGAGGCAAACAAGCGCGACCGACCTCTCGATTTCATTGTAATACTATTTCATAACGCGTATCGATGTGAATCCATTGTAACGCGCATCGATGTGAATTCATTGGAATCAACATGGGACCCAACTTGGACTGAAGGATAAAACGGGTATGATTAATCTCACTGGCATTCTATGGCGCGCTAGTTTGTGTTCAATGCTGCTGTTTACACTGCAAGCCTTACAGTTTGGTTGGCGAGCCCTGCTGGTCAGTGTGATCGCAACTGAACTCTTATTGCTACTGCAGAACTCATGAAATCTACGAACATCTCTTTCGCATCTTTTTGCATCACGCCAGCGAGCGACGAGGTTGAGCATTAAGATGGGACAGCCTCTTCCAATGCTTGGCATCTTGGCAATCATGGTGGCCATCAGAGAACACGAACACACACAATAAGTCATGCTTTGAAACCTGCTCACAGATAAGCGTCCAGCCACAGACACGGGTTCAAGACCTTCTTCAAACACAGTGTGCTCGGCTAAGTATATGAGCTCCATTGACGTGCGCCGAGCACATCTGTGGAGTCGGATGTTGAACATATTCAAGCCTGTGGTGGCCTGTGGTGCAAGAAATTTAAACCCATGCGTTGGTCGGAACTTTCGGTACTCATCGGTTCAAAGACGTAGACGCGCTGTAAAGGTAGCGGTAGCAGGAACCAAATTCTCATGTTCTCTAGGCGCGCTATCTGCCGCTATCTGGTTCCCTGTGAGGCTACTTTGGTGTTGCACTCCTAAATGGCTGCCCACCGCAGGACTGTGGAGTCTTACCAGTCTTAACACTTCCTGACGTGCTGTGGCACTCTGGCTGTGAGACGTGGCACGAGCATGACATATCTTAGCTTTAAGTGATGCAACAACAGCTTTGTGCGTCGAAACGGGCCATGTGGTGATTGGGCAAGATTTGGACATCGAACATTGGAACAATTTTTTGGGCAGCAGGACCAAGCAGTAAAAAATATAAGAACCAAAGCGCTGCCTCGGAATTCTGGTGATGAAAAACGGACGCTGCACTTGGTCCAGCTTGACAGTTGCGCATCCCGTTTGCGCCAAGCTGGGAGACAACACCAGCCAAGACTGCTCTGATTCATCTCAAAAACATGTGCAGGACGTGCCAACTTTCTGGGAGAACTTCAAGGAGCTCTTTGGAAACAGCGCCAAGGCCACTTTAGCGACAAACAATTTGATTCTTTCTGAGCAGAATCTTGGAAGGATCCAGAGGGGAGAGATGCATATGTATACATATATATATGTATGTAATGTAATGTAATGTAATGTAATGTAATGTAATGTAATGTAATGTAATGTAATGTAATGTAATGTAATGTAATGTAATGTAATGTAATGTATGTATGTATGTATATATGTATAAGTTTCGCACTTATTGAATTATTTCTACCATTTTCTACCTTTGCTTCCGTTTGTGATGCGAACCGGAGTAGTGCTCTGACATTACTTTCCCTTTCTCACGATGCCTTTATTAGGATTTATTTCATGCTTCGCAGTTGGTATATGTTGGTATGGTGGTCTGGGTTTTCTCCGGTGCTGGTGTTGAAGGTCATGAAGGCAAATGGAAACGAACCCGTCTTGTCTGTATGTCTCTTAGACTATTTCGGATGAGTGCGGAATTCCGCAGGAATACTCTGCACATGCCCTGGATTGGCTGTCCACAGATTGTTCTGCCTAGGGGGCAGGGATCATAGGAAGCCGATACGGACCTCTGGCTCAGGTTCAAGGATAGATTAAAATTGCTGAGGACTTCTTTGTCTCATGTTCACCCTTACGCAAACATCAGAGCAATCCCTTAAACAGCAAGGGAAGAAAGTTGAGGTTGGGAAGCAAAGAGGGGCTCTGCAAATCCTGAACCCAAGAAGCTTAGCCACCAAACTGCGATCCTCAGGATTTTCTACCAAACCGGCCACCGTCTTCCATATGTGCGTGCGCATGGTCTTTACACAGAGGCAGGTTGTTGGGGTTGAGGCTCAAACAACTTCAAAGTTGAGCTGCTTTGAGGTGACGTACTCCCCGCAGATGATTCAGCAGGTCCTGTTTTGGAGGTTGGAAAGCAGTTGCAGCATGAAGGTCAGACATCTTTGGTTCATTTTGGTTCCGGTTTCTTTCAACTTCGGGGGAAGTGTGATGAGTTCTGCTGACTCTAGACTTTCCCACTCCAGTTTTTCACGTGCCATTTGGATTGAGGGTTGAATGTGCGCATGAAAGTGCTGTCTCCAATGCAGATTCGAGCCATGGCTCGATCTCCATGATCACAGGCTGGGGTAGGACGTGCGCGCTACCCTTCTGTGCCGTTGGGGTATGCCATGCCGTCGCGCTGGGCTGCACTGAGGGCCAAAGTTCATGCTGTAGAAGCGGTGAGTGCATCTCCACAGCTCTTCATTTCCACACCGACACCGCTGGAGCCGAAAGAGCAGCATGACCAGGCGAGCGATAAGGTGATGCACAGATATATAACACATTGACAATATATATATATATAATTATATATATAATTATATATAATTATAATTATAATTATAATTATAATATTCACACACACACACGGGCATAATGCATGTGCATGTATATATATATATATGTATATAAATAAATAAATAAATATATATATATATATATGTGTGTGTGCATATGTATGTAGATATATCACGATTATTTTTTGTGTATACAAACATGCGTATTATGCCTTACGCACTTCTGAAATCTTCCAAGTTGTGGACGCATTTAGCATTGTGGTGATGCAAACATCCCAAGAATTTTGGATCGCGCAAACATTTTGGGACGTTTGCACCTTGAGGAAGTCCTTCCAGCTGAGCCTGCGCCCCACGCGGCACAGCTACCACGGCCTTCTCTTTCTCTACGACGTGGGCATGCAAAGGAAGAGAAGGAGGTCGCAGAGATTTTAGGATAAAAGGGAGCAACAAAAACAATGTAGCCTGTAAGGTGTGCAAGTCTTGCGTGTAATGACTTGGATTCCTGTGAAAGTCCGTGGGGCCTTGTTTGATGTAAAGGCTAAACAGTTAAAAACTTTGGGCAACAAAATTAACGCAGTAATATCAGTAATAGTGTGTGTGTGTGCGCTTCCAGTTCATGATCCCAGTAATAGTGTGTGTGTGTGCTTCTAGTTCATGATTCCACGCTCTTAATGAAGCTCTTCGGATGAAAGGCCTCGATTTGGCAGCCCAGCCATGCACCGCAGGTGACTCCAGAGCCGCAACTGATTTGTACTCCGAGGACACGGTCACCACTGGCAGACGGAGAAGTGAAGTCTGATGCCTCAAAGACTGTGAAGGAGAGGGGCATCGGAGAGGGTCTCTGCAGAATATGCAGATGAGGACACATGAGAATCATGAGACATCTACACTCAATGAAACCTTCAGATTGGGCATATCGGCCACCCTTTGTCCATTTTTCCATACACATGGTTGATGGGTGAGGCATAAGCCACTTCGCCAAATCATTGATTTGCTTGGCAGTTGTTGGCGCAATAAAACACAGTATAACTTTTGAAGTGCTAAGGTCATGACAGGGTTTCACATGACCTACACACGAGCTCACGCAATCTGGTTAATTTGTCAGGCAGAGGGCGGAAGCACAAGAAGTTCATTATCACTTCGGCCCTCAATCAAGAAACCAGATTTTAGAAGAGCCGGAAGTCATAGCAGCCAAGGGAGCCCACTGCCGAGTGACGGGCATCTGAATCTGAAAATCGGGGATGCAACTGCCCCAACTTCCAAGCCTTCAAATCGAAGACCAAAATTTCAGCGACAGATGACCTTTGCGACATCCACGAAGAAAGACGCCGAATCCGAAATGCGCCCGGCAAAGAAACTATTTCGGAATGCAACGACTAATTTCGACGCCAAGACTGTGAGCACCCCAGAAAAAGAAAAGAGGTTTGCACATGCCGTGACTGACCCGTCTGACCCGATGAGTGGAGAGAGTCGCACGGTCGCAAAGACATCAGTTCGTCGACATAAAGTGTAGCATTTTCATCTGTAGGTCCATTTTGCCAAATGAATGTGCAGCTGATGCAACTTTTAGACAGGCAATGGGCAACTCTCTGTGTAAGGGTGCATCCTTGGATTGCGAGTCCAATGTCTCTGATTCTCATGATCACTTAGAGAAAGGCTGGCGCTTGTGGCAGCCAAGTCAGTGCTTCTTCGCTGGCATCCTGCACTGAGGTAGTCCCTGGAGCAGACCAGTGACGTCGCTCAACAGCGACTCACCCCGAACATGGCAGGAGGAGATCGCGCCAGAAGCGCCCAGCGAAGCACCCAGCAGAACCACCTCAGCGGTTGTAAATCTCAATGAGCTCGATGAGCTTGGAGACCTCCCGCCAGCTGGAATGCCGGTGCCACTAGTGGCTTGGTAGCAGTTTCATAATTTGGATGATTTGGTGCACAAAGACTTCTGCAATCTATAGACCTATTGGGACCTTGCACTATATTGCATTGAAGTGAAACTCAGCTTGCCATGGGATTTGCAACTGCATCCAGTCCAGGGAGAAGACGACGTGCATGACCAGCACCCGACAGAGCCGCTGCAGAGAGGCTGCGGCACCTATGACAGCCTGAAGCAATCCTCGGACGGCTCGTTGCAAAGAGTGCGAAGTTCTTCAATGCGAAGTTCTTCAAGCCAACTCTCACAGTCCAGCGAGCCAAGCGAGCATGGCAACCTCTCCAAGGAGCTGTTGCCAGTCTTTTGATTGGTCCAAAAGGTGTCCAAGAGTTGCCCAAAGATCAAAACACGTGAAACCAAAGTTATCTTGTGGATCTTGCTCTGAAACTTTTAAACTCTTCTTTCTTTGCCATTCTGATGTCTTTTTGCGATACCAGTTCCACCGTTTTGAATTGTGGTTTGTCCTTCAGTGCGTGTGCGCAAGGATCCTGAGCTTCAAAGACAAGGCATTAGCCACAAGAAGCCGCAGACGTCCAAGTCAAGCAGACGAAATCGCAGCTTCTAGGCTTCTAACTACTTGCTCCTTTTCCAGATGGCCTTCACATCATTTCACTCAGTCACAGCGCTTGTGTGAATTCTATGTTTGAAAAATACATGTCTGCATTGCAATCAAAGCCATCAAAAGGTAACGGAGTTGATGCCAACATATGCTAACCAGACCGGAAAAGTGATCGCCCTTCCAAATCGGTTGCGTAAGGTAAGGGGCGCGATGCGTCCCAAGAAAAGAAAGAATCCAAACAAAGTGCAGCTGGTAAAGCCGCGAAGAGGAAAAACAGCCGAACCTAGGCTGCACAGACTGAACTCCTTGATAGATCTTGGAAGTTCGATGTGGATTGGAGTCAGCCGTATTGGCCACTCAATAGTTTGGAAGTTTGGAACGGATGATTTAATTTGATGACTATGAACCTCGAGTGCTGGAAATCCTGTCAGCTGTCTCCCCTCTTGAAGTGAGTAAGGCGCTCCACATGAAACATGTGGTCAAACCCGTAAAAACGTAACTGCCGGACACCTCTATGGTCCATGGAATCTGATCAGGGGGACACCCAAAGTCATCAAATTCCAAAAAGGTAATTTTGATGGAGAAACATGACTAATGATTATCAACTATTGGATTTAGGGGTGCTATGGGGTATCATGGGGTACCCTATTTTCAGACATCCAAATTTTCGTTGCTGGATTTCCCAGGTTTAAGAGGCAGCCAGAGCGACTTGTCGGAAGAAGAAGGCAAGCAGGAGTCCAGCAAAAAGAGTTCTGACAAAGATGCCCGAAAGAGAAAAACCAGCCGAATCTGGGCTGCATAGGAAACCTGGCTGGGGTAGCCACATCACTTGGCGGAGCACTACTAGTGCTTAGTATAGGATTCGCACGCACCTGCAAGATTGGTTGGTGGGTTTTCCCCAGGATTAGAATGCTGCATTTCCAATGGTACGATGGGTATCTCAAAAATAAGGAAAACTCATGACAACTCAATAAATTGCAATTTCAATGAGAAAAGTGATGATCGACCGATCAACCCAAGGAGCCCGCAGCGTGAGCCGAGCTTCTTCTGGCGCCAGTGGCGGCAGCAGGCGCTCCATTGACTTCAAACGAAGCCCCAGGAGCTGCCTGGCGTTGATGGTGCGATGCCATCCGTGTGGTAGGCCTAAAGCTTCTGATGATTTCAATATATTTCAATGATTCATCATCTTCCATCATCTTCCCAATAAAATGGCAATTTTGGGGGATATTGGGATACCACCTTTTCAGATACACCTATATCATCCCGCAGGTGCCTTCGCAGTGGGGTTCAGCGGTGAATGGTGAAGGGGCAAATGTCTTAGTGATATTTCATTGTTGTCTCCCAGAAGTCTTCGGTTATGTATTTATATATATATATTTATATATATATATATATTTATATTTGTATATTTATATATATGTATATATATATGTATATATCTCTCTCTCTCTCACTCTCTCTCTCTCACTCTCTATAATATGCCAGGTTACGCCTTATGAGCTCTGCGAGAGCTTGGACATGCCAAGGTTCAAGATCCCCAAAGCCATCCTCAAAGGAAGCGCTGGTACAGCAGCGCAAGAGTCTGCGAGAAAGGTGCTGCAACATGACTGTGGTAATGGTTTTGGGGTCAATCAATCGGTAATTTAGGCCAATGACACTCGAACTTTGAGTCACAGGATATCCTGGATATTGTACTTCGAAACTCTTCCCACCCTGGGCAAACAGCTTTCCCAGTTTGTCATGTCAGCTGTTAGTTTCTTGCAAACTGGGGCGTGAGCACAAGAGTGAAGACAAACTTGTTCCGTGTTCTGTGGATGCTTACCCTGTTTCCCAAGGAGTTCAACGAATGCTTCTTGTGACATCTCGCAACCAGTTTTCTTGACAGGAGTGTGTGGCACTTTATGTGCTCACACACTGCAAATCAGCTTGCCTTGGAGGTTTGCTTCTGAAGTACCAGAGGGAGAGGTGCCCGAGCGAAAATCCGGCAAGGCCTGGCCATGGTGTGGCAGCGCAGTGTTGTCTCGTCCACTAAGTCCACTAAGTCCACAAAGTCCACTAAGTCCACAATGCCATGAGGTGACATTTCTACGAAAAGCGTGGAGTCAAGCGAGGTGCGCACTCTTGGGACTGCAGGAGCCGCAAGTGCAGGACAGAATGTGGGATGAGAATGTGGCCAGCCCAAGAGAAGAAACAACAGTTTATGAACGGAGACATGTTCAACCACTTACTGCGCTAGTTCTGCTGTCAGGGTCTTATGTTTGCATTCAAGGATGCCTTTGATGCCTTTGATGCCTTTGATGCCTTTGATGCCTTTGAACCCAAGGCAAATTTATTGGAAACAACTTCTACTTGTATCTGAAAACCGGGCACGGGCAGTGGACACCACTGTGAGGTTTTTCTCTTTGGTGGAAGCTGCTACAGTCACCTACTGATCATATCTGTAGTTCATGCGGCGTTTCCGCTCTTTTGGTCCTTTACTTCGGTACATTACATTGCAGCAATTTAATAAGAACAGGCTGCCATATTTGTGAAAATATGTACGTCAAACTCTGTCTGAAACGGGTTTATCATGTTATCGATCCTTTCACAGGACGACAACGATCCTCGTGCCAAAGGTCTTCGTGGTTGGGATGCGGCCAGAGCTCTCTGTGTTGGAACTGGCCGCGCCTTGAGGGATATAAAAAATGTGGTCTCTTTAGTGACTTGCCTCAATTGATCCTCAGTTGACCCCCAGTTTATCCTCAGCTGCTTTGATTGTATCCCTTTGACGCCCCGTGTAGGTGAAGAAAGCTGCAGATGAAGCTTACCATCGGCATCGCGCTTTTTGGCAGAGGTTATGACAAACTGCCCCATGAAAGGGTCGGACAGTTTTGTGCACATGTCGGTTTATCGCCATTTTTAGACGGCTACAGTAACCCATGGGTATCATCACTGTGAAGCGTGCTGTGTTGCTACTTGAGAAGTGCTGAACCGCCCAGGTTCAGAAGGCAATTGTTGAAGAAATCGGGACGACTCTGCGTGGAAGCATGGCCAACGTGTCACTTTGACAGAAGATCTTTTTGAAACTCGGTTTCAGGTCCTGCACAGCCGACTAGAACCAGCATCTCCAAGTTCAAAATGATCTACCAACAAATAGATCAAACAGCAAATGATCAGTCGGCATGCATGAACAAGTCGCACATGGGCTTGGAGTTTGCCAATCGAACTCTTGCATTTCTGGTTGGCCTCCTGACCTTTGGCATTACAGTCTCTTGCATGAAGTGCGGCATCATGTTACCCATCCTCTCAAAATCAGGTCCGACGAAATGGACGAAACTATCGGTGATGTCCTTGCAGATTTGACGCGCCTGAAGTGTCCTGTTTGCAGTGTAGCTTTGACCTGATGCAGATCGGGAGATCTGTAGCAGTCCTTTTTTTGTGATGGAAGTGTTGCCCCTATATCTTCGCCTGTTGGGACGTGTATCTTCTTGGAGCATCAAGGTGGCTGGATATGACGGAGATTGGTGCGCTGGTTTGTGAAGCGATTCTGAACTTTGACGAGGATGAAAATGAGACCATCACATCACCAGCGAGCCTCAGAAACTTGGCAATGCCGCAGGCTCTCTCCAAGTGAGTCTGCCAAAACCTCGTGCCGACCCAGCTTCTGCTAGCTAGAGCTTGGACAATTCTCGAAAAAGACCGGGATCAAAAAACAACTTTTTCCCTTGTCTGGTGCAGGAGCAAAGGCATGCGAACATCCGTGAACCACATCACACCAACATGATCCAACATGTTCAGAGATTTGTGCCCAGGAGATCAGCTCCTGCAGCACTGCCAAAGCTTACCAAATCGGGAGGAGGTCCTGGGCATGGATGATGGGCAGATTGAAGCTCTTTTGGACAATATCATGCAACTTGTCAGGACTTGGGACTTGTCCATATGGAAAGGGCAGAGTCGGACAGAGCTACCAAAGGAAGCGGGGAGTTCCGAAGGGAGATTTGTACCGGTTAACGGTTAACACTTCAAGTTTGAACTGCAGCACCTATACGTTTTCTACTGGTCTTAGTTGACATAAAATAACCACTTCGAGCTGGATGCTGGCAGCCGCAGCACAGGCCTTGCATTTTTTTCCCAATCACAAGAAATTGAATGACACGTACAGTCTAAGCATAAACCACATAACTGGAAGAAATCTTGTTCTTAGAACAGCCCGGAACACGGAGGCATCAAACTGAGAGCCTTCGAGATCAGTTGCGAACAAGTGTTGGCTTCAGCATGCCGGACGAAGATGCTCATCAGCACCACCGCAGCAAGTTACGCCAGATGGATAGCAGTCGATTGACTGGCATGGATACCGTGGAGGTGGCTGTGGAAGAGAGGGAAAGCGTCGGGAGCAACTTGGATGAAACTTTTTTTTCTTTTAATGCACCTTGTTGGAACCCAGACATTCATCCGTCCTGGAATTTTCCATCACGATAGTTCGGGTTAGATTCCCGAATATATGGTCTTGACATTCATAATTTGGAGCACTTCATGGAGCTGGCTTCAGCAGCTACCAGCACCGGGCAGGTTGAATGCAGCTCTTGTTTGGATGTTTAGTTTTGACAACATTCCAAACACGAGGACAAGGCTACTGGCCACAACGCAGCAGCTTCAGTTTACACAAGGGCCACTGAACGATATGATTTTCCTACAATTGTTTTCTTCAAGCAGATTTGGTCATGGTTGGTCTATCTACATGTTTGTTATTTGTTGGATTTTCATGGATTTTCTACGTTTTTGTTGTGTGTTGGAACATGTTCAATTTATATTTTGGATATTTTTGGATTGTCTTGCCCAAGTTGCGAGGCATCCTATCCCGCATGGGCAGCCGTGTGGATACCGAGCCCAAGGCCTTGCTGGACCCGGTCCAGGAGGCCGCGCCGCCAGCGCCGCCGGCGGCGCCGGCCGAGATGCGCCGGGTGCCGCCGCCGCGTACTCTGCGGCCGGCGACGCAAAGTCCAAGGGGAAGGACCGGTGGGGTGGATGACCATGGTGGACCAGCAATGGTGGTTTTGCTAAGGATTTTGAAGGATTTTGATGTGATGGGGGAAGGTGAAAATTTATTTGCATCCCTGAAATGGATGGTTATATCAGTTGTATCATCCTTATTCAGGTGAACATCATCCAAAATGTGTGGCCGTTGGAACCCAATTTTGCCTCACACATCTACTAGCCTTGCATTTCCACCACCGAACCCTGTTCAAACTCGTCTGCAAAGGACAGGTGACAAAGGCCGTGAGGAAAACGAAGCAGACGACCTGCCGCTGCTGGTCTCGAGCTCTTCTACTCTTCCAAGGGAGCCGCGAAAGATGCCGAGACGACCGACGCGGAAGCAGCTGGAGATGGCTGGATTTTCACATGTTGCGGGCTTGTTGGAGGTGTCGAAAAGATCAGTTCTTTACGCTGCTATGACGACCTTCCCTTATATGCAGAGACTTGGCACATGGCACATGAGGGAGGTAGGCTTGGGCCAAGATCCTGGACACTGTTTGGCATTGGATTTGTGTGACTCAGAGCCGAGCAGCCATGGCCCAGGACCTTTCCTGTCGTGATGGCCCCGAAGGTTCCAAACCGTGAGATGCGAGAAGTTTCGTCCACCGGTGCGGTGCTTCCAATTCTGGTTACACCCAGACCCTTGAGCCCCACCTCACGACGTCATGCTGGGGCATCATCTCCTTAGCTTCGCACTATTCTCCTGAAAGATCCTCAAAAGCACCAAACAAGAACTGTGACCATTTGAGCTAAGTGGACAAAGATGGACAGAGGTACCTGATTATATTAAATATAAAATTAGTAAGTTCAGATGCCTTACAACAGTATTTCCAATGAGTGAATCGTTGAGTACGTTGGCTCCTCGACCGCAAGACGTGCATGTCAGAGACACCTGCAGAGGCCATGTACATAGCCTGATGCCTGGGCCTTACGTTTTGCAAAGCGCATCTTTGCGCGCTGTGGAGACCAGCAGGAACATGATGTGGCAACATGTTTGTGAAGCCCCAAAGCGACTGACATCGCACGACTATTCACACATTGCCCAACCATTTGCACGAACAATCACCCATGACAATGACACTTTCTGCAGCCGGGTGTGGCTTCCAATCATTTTCAGCAATTCCTCCAAAAGGAGGCCGAGCCTTGAAGCTGCTCAGATTGGTAAAATGCGTCTTGCGGGGAGGTTCCGGCTTGTTCACCAAGCGTGCGCAGCATAATCTGAAGAGTCACTTAACTGTGCAGGTCACCACTCTTCGCCTACGTGACTTGGATAAAGGGTACTTGGCTTCAGCCATGCAATGTATTGTAGCAATGCTGGCATGACCAGCAACGACTGGGTTTGACTTTAGTTTGACTGATGGGGGCGAGGCCACACTGCGCTGTGCGCTGTACCGCTTCCTCGAAGGCAGGAGCATAGCCACATGATACACAATGATACACAATGATACACAATGATACACAATGATACACATCGAGCTCCGCAGAGTTATCGTAGGGAACACAGTGGCACCAAATAAGATGGGCAAGAAATCTTGAATGATCAGAATGAAACTCAATTAAAGCCGGCTCATGGCTTTAAAAGCGGGGGTCTCTCGGCATGATGGGCATGCCGGGCTGCACAAGGCATCCCGCAGTACCCACTGAACTTTTACTTCCTGGAGGGAACAGAGAGCGTTCCATACAAGAAGGTGCAACAACAGTGCTGCGACCATGAGTTGGCGACATTCGCCAATTCAAGAGTTGCAATTACAAGTTACAAGCGTGTTGTTGGATAGATAATTTTCAACAAGAAAATACAAGCTTTGGCTTGCAGCTTGCTGCTGTGGTTCTTGTTTCTTGCTCTCTTTTTGGGGCCGTCGATTCAAAATCGCTTCTTGAGACAGTCTGCGCAAAAAACATGAGCTCACCGATGTTGTACATATTGTACATGTTGAATGTCAACCACAAGGCTGCAAGCTTTCGTGCTGTGGCACTACTGCCGCAAGATCACGCCCCTTGGTGTATGCAGGGCGAATGCGTTTTCGAGTTGAGGACTAGTCACCCGGTCAACTTGTTGCCTCAACACAATCCTATCCATAGCTTGTTTAGTCCATGCACCTGCGACAAATCCGTGTTCAGAAAACTCGAAGGCGCTGATGTCTTTCTTCGAGTTGTACTCGGCAAATGTTCCGTTGCTGATGCCTTCTGCAGAGTGGATGTATCGGCTGCTCTACATGCGCGGTCAGCTTTCTGTGGGAGAACGCTGCCCGGCTCTGGCTTCAAAGATCTTGGGACCGCTGATTGAAGACTTTCCAGACGGGGCCAAACGAGAAAAGACATGAGATGGCCTTGGGGTTCAGGGCTTGGAGCAAGCTGCATACATCTGCATTGCATGTTGGCTTGTACTTGTGATTTCAAGTGCTTTGCCAAGGTTGGTATCAATCTATCATGCCAGGGCACGAGCCGCCCTTCTGCGAGTTTGAGGAGGCGGATGCCAACACCACGTCTGGCACCCCAACCGCTGCTTGGGGGGTGAGTGCTGCGAAGGCGGCACGCGCTGCAGCAGTGTGAGCCCCAGGCGTTGCTGTGCGTGATGCTTGCAGTGATTTTGAGTGAGTCTCTCCGGGGGATTTCTCTCAGGGGACGAACCATTGGCTTGGCTTTGGGTGGAAACTTACGACCCAGACCCAGAAGCACAATTTTTATCAATTTTTGTCCTTCCGAGTATTCAGATTTACGTTTAATGTACCCAAATTTGACCCAGACCCACGGTGAACTCCAGGTTCAGACTTTGCGCCGCATTGTAACTGCCACGGATCTGGAGACCGCCAAAAGCATGGCTGAAGCGACGCTAGGACGGTTCATGCAAATATTTGCTGAAACTGTCTGAGTCTGAGATGACACAACCACTTCTCTGCTCAACTCATATGGTTTCAAACAGACGCCGACATGTACTTTTTTTAATCAAATGATATCAAGATGTATAACAAAGGAAGCCATATTGCATTTGGACCGGCCGCAACTGCCCCGATCTGCTGTCACATGTCTTAGTGGTGGTGGTGAGAAACTTCTGAAAGGACTCATGGAAGACCAGTGACTTGGCTGCACAATCGTTCGGAACAAAGCCATGTTGAAACTTGCAACTTTGGGATCCTTGGGACTTGTGCGTGATTTGACCTCTGTGGGTCCAGCATGCCTTTCGCTCTTGATACAGTGTAAGGAAATTCTTCCTTGCAGTTGCTGCGAATGAGACTGACCAGGAGGGACTGATACTGTTCTGCTGCATTTCTACCATGCCAAAAGTGCCAAGCAACAGGGTTGCACTCAGTTTTTAGAGGACTCGGCCACATCCATGGGTGTGGTGCGCCGCTCCCACGACGACAGTGGTGGCCACAGTGCCCCGCGACTTCAAAAGAAAGGTACGCTGGGGCAGCCTTGGAAATGATCGTGAAGACTAGCGGCCTGCATCTGCAAAACCAATCGCCTGTTTTTATATTCAAATCACTTCTAGAGGCCGCAGTTCCGGCAGGTGGAAAAGCATGGAAAAGCAAAAGGGTGCCAGCTGCCAATGCTTCTCTTGAAGTTATGAGTGCAGGTGCGCCGTGGCATCCTTACACTCCCTTCCAGATGTCTACACGTGACTCCAATGACTGGACCCGGATGCGGAAGGGAGGCGGGGAGTCCTACTTGTCTTTCGCTGCCTTTTTCGGTGTCCAAATTGCCTATTTGTGCAGGTTGGTGGCTTCGGAGGGGCCATCGATTTGATGCCATGCGCTACTGGCACCAGTTCTCTGACTTTGTACCTTGTGCTCAACTTGCTCAAACAGACCTGTCTCAATCAACTGGTTTATTGCTGCTCGGTCAATAAGCTAAGGTTGACCATGGTTGACCTGCCGACCTGCCTAGGAATCCACGATCCATGTGTGAAATTACGAAGTGAAGTGAAACACATACACACAGACGTGCAATTCAATTGTAGTTGTCCAATGTTGTCCATGCCAGTTTTATCCAGCTTCAGGCGCGCTTTCCAGGACTGCAATACTTCGCAACTTGGCAGCACCAGCACGTAAGCCAGGCGCCTTCTTGCAGCTTGAATCTTTGTTTGAAGTGATCGCCAGCGGAACGGATGCATTTCATTCAAGGCAAACATACCTGAGCTGCTTTGCCAAGCCCAAGTGATGGACATCCCGGCTGCAACGCAGGCTTTACCGTGTTGAAATGTGTTGAATGTGGGATGTTGAACGGTGAATGTACCTCCGATGGTTGATGGAGGCCCTGTTTACCCAGCAAACTTTGCAGGCTATGTATTTGCACAACCAGGCGTGTGCTGGGCCCTGGAGTGAAGGTGAGAACTGAAGCAGGTGAAGCAGGTGAGCGTGAAATAATATGGGATAATAGCTGGACAACCAGCAAAAGCAAAAGATAGGAAAAGAGGATGCTCAGAGATCAGGGAATTGGTGGGAAAAAACATGCTATGCCTTCATCAGCTAACTGTTCATGAGTCCTGGATTAAACTGATGAGATATGCTGGTATGCGAGATCTGATATCGTCCAAGCTACTGTGGATGGAAGAAATCCCACACCAGTTGGTAACTTTAACTATTGGTAACTTTAAAACAGTGCAAATAATCGGATCAAAACGGGATACACCATCTACACCATCTACCAACTGGTGCAGGATTTCTTCCATCCACAGTATGTAAAGCAATTTTCTTGATAGATCTTGATAGACACTTCGTCATTGAACGTGGAATGAGCGCAAACCTGACATTGTTAGCAATAGTGAACTGAACGGTACAACGACACACCAAAACCTTGTTTGATTCAAGTCCGAGTGATTGAACCTTTGGAGAGAGAAAGAAACTGGACAGCAGAACAAGGTAACTACACAACATCTTAATCTCAATAATAATGATGAATTAATCAGGAACTAATTAATCATAGAACTCGGAACCATCCTTTTCCAGCTCTTCCCCGAGCAAGTCGTCGTGTAGGGCGCACTCATCTCTTTTGGGATGCTCAACCATTGTGGCCAGGCGACGCTGGCCCATTCCTCCGCATTCTGGGCAAATGCCATCTTGGAGCTTCTTGCTTAGGGGCTGAGAGGGTTCGTCAGGTCATGACCAAAGCATGTCAAGACCGGGAGATCCGCTAGGCTCTAGCTGCCATGCAAATGCCCGACACTTTCAAGGGCGCCAGGGCCTGCTGGTGCGAACAAATACAAAACAAGTGCGGTACAGGCAAGTCCGATGGGGAGAGAGAGAGAGAGACACACAGATAAGTCTGAGAGGAGCAAGGTCATGTAGCTTGCCATAGGAGAAACTGAATCTACGAGATTCTGCAAGTACTCTGCCTGATAACCATTTTGGCTCGGAGAGCCAGCGCCGACAACTTCACATTTCTCGTGTGTCTCCCTTCTGTCCAGCTTCCAAAGTCATGCCACTTGGCAATTTGTTGCTTGCATTCAGCTTCTGCTGGCCTTCCTGCCAATGCACATTTTCTGGTTTTGACGTCCTGAACGCATTGGATTTGAAGGCTTGCGATGCCTTGCCATGGCTTGCCCAATTGAATTAATCCTGGTCCCTGGTCGTCTATTTCGAGGTTTGACTGCTGCATTGTGGCTCCTGATGAAGGCCCGCAGATTTCTAAGCCTTCTAAGCACTGCCCCTGTGGCAATCTGGGGTGGTTTCAATAAATTGCAGAGAAACGCTGGTAGCTTTTGGTAGCCATTTGCATTGATAAAGATCTTTTGATCCCCAGTCCGTGGAGTAGCCAGCCACTGGACCCTTTCTGCTCCGCGACTTGCCAGCTGAAGAGTTCAAGATGCCCAAGGGTGCATCGCGCTGATCTCAGCTTGACATCTTAAGAAATGCAATTTTCAATTTCACATTATTTCTCATTTTTCATGCTTGCAAATCAGTTATATAAGTTATATAGGCATGCCTATATTCCAGACAAATGAGAAGATACAGCCGCAAGCGGCAAGCGTGTGTACACACGTGTTATCCCTACAATCCCTACTGTCCCTCTGCCAGATCAATTTTTACCTGCTACAGATTTCAAGTCTTGTGGATTAGACTAGACAGATGGAAAGAAAAGCTCAACATCCAGGCGTATGACAAAAACCAAGTCAGCCCGCAAGATGCGAGTGAAGCAGGCCGCCAGCTTTCATTGTTTCTTGAGAATCCTTAGGTGTAGGAAATACCCAGCACAGCGTTCCTCAATCTGACCCAAGTTTACTCTCTCTCTCTCTCTGCCTCGCTCCCTCGCTCCCTCCCTCCCTCTCTCACTTTTCCATTTGCGTGCCCGCTGCCAGGGAGTTCGAAGTGGGAAGGGCACCAAAAAACTTGCAGATGGCACGGTCGCGCTACCGAAATTGCGCTGAAGGAGAGTCTGTTCAGAGTTGGCATGGCCCACATGAACATGAGATGACACGAGCCTTGCAAGGTCTCCAAGCTAATTTGATGGTCCTCTCCCGGCGTCGGGCGCATGGTGCCATCGCCAGGTGGTGAAGCCAGATGGAAGCAAGGTCCTCCCAGATGGAACTCAGGTGTCCGCCGATGCTGAAGACCTGAAGGCCGCAGAGGCGCGAGACAGCAATTTTTTGGGTTTGGGTCTTGTTTCACATGTTTTCACGCGAGGAAACGACAGCAACACACGCCACTTTGGTTCCCCCAAAAATCCACTGTCACAAGTCCATACAAGTCCCACTTCTTTAGCTATGCCAGTGAAGGAATGCACGTTTGGTTCTTGCAGGGTTTTTGAGGTCGTTAGAAAATTTTCTGCCAACAGCTATCCTTCCGAATTCCTTCCAGTACTTTTTTGAATCGACATACCGTGACATACCCTTATTATCTTTGATTATGGAATCTACATCCCTCTTCATCAACTTATGTGCTCTTAAACTCTGAGAAATGAAATGCACCACTTGAATGTTCTGGATATCATACATTTTGCTATCTTTGCTTATGAGGTTGGAATTGCGCAGCATTTTTTCTACTTTACGATTACCTTGTTCTGAAAGAGCAATGGAATCCATTTCCTCATCTATGTTGTAATCTTCAGACTTTAAAGCTATGACAATATTATCTATTAATATCTATTATATTTCACATACCTGTATTCTGATCAGTAGTGTTAGAAATGATAGGAGGTATCCTCGCTTCATCAATTACACAGAGGCTGCTTCATGTACACAAGTCAAAACCTAACTCATTGTTGTTAGCGTATGTAACATCACAATTATAAGCCCTTGCTAGATCCGCATGAGTGCTAGATGATAGAACATATCCTACTGACATTTGCAAAAAATTGAATATCTTGCCCCCCATAGAGTCAGCATCCCTTTTTGCAAGGCAATCATTGACAGTCACAACATGAAAACCCTTTCCTTCTAAAGCTCTTATATAGATATGCCGCCATTGCTGCCGATAAAGTCTTACCTTCACCGGTACTCATCTCAGATATCATGTTAGTATACAAAGATACTGCTCCCTGAACTTGCACATCAACCTGTTTTATTCCTAGTGCTCTTAATGTCGCTTCTCTAAATACTGCAAATGCTTAATGCAAAACGTTGTCTAGAGATTTACCCTCTTTCATAAGATTTTTACAATGAAGAGTTTGCCCACATAATGCCTCATCACTCATGTTTTGAAATTTCTCTTCAAGGAACTTATCATAGTTTTTTTTTTTTGAATTGTTTTATCAAAGCCTTACTAGCTAGGCTGACCCTTCTATTAAAATAAGGATTATGTAAGTTCTGCAACATATACAATCATCAGACATTCAATTAACACAAAATACATCAAAATACAGACAGTAGTTATACTTAATTAATATACACCAATATTAATATACGACTATTTGAGATTGACGTGTTATATTGAATAGTGTAAGTTTGATGCATGTCTTATCGATACTATAATATTAATGATTTGTTTTAACATGTTCTTTATAAGCATATCCCATACGACGTGAAATAAAAGACAAGACCTCTATAAAAAAACTGCTATTGTGTTTATTCTGAAAATGCTGTGTGCCTTGATGCTAACTCTGGTAAGTTTGGGCCCTCCCAGGGATGGGAGTTGCATGATGGGAATGGCAGTTATACCCACCCAGTGGCTTCCTCCACATGGAGGATCTGTTTGGTGAAGCTTTGCGAAATTGCGAGTTGGAAGCATCTGATCCTCCTTTCCTTGAGTTAAGGATTAGGTTCTGATGCCAAATTGTGATCCATTTTGCTATCTATCAATCTATCTAATCTATTCTACTCTATTTCTATTCTATCCTATCCTATCCGATCCGATCTATCTATTTGTTTATTATGTACACACACACCAACACACACACACATATATATATGTGTGTGTATACACATGTTTTACACACTTTACGCGCGCAGATTTGCACACAGACATGTACATGTCTGAGTCTTTCTGCTAGTTTAGGTTGCTAGCGGAGCTTGTGGCCCAGCAGAGCTTTCAGAGCGCTAGAACTCACCAAACTCTTGGGGATCCAGTGGCAAACTGTTAATTTCAATGGCTTCAATGGCAGAGGTGTGCGATGGTTGCGATGGTGCCATGGCTTGGCTCTGGCTTAGCTTTGCCAGGAGAAACGTCAAAAACAGGAGGCTCTTGAGGCTGAAGCAAAGGCCAAGAAGGAAGCTGCTGACGAGGCAGGCATCGCCGCTAACAGTTGCCAACATTTTTCAAAGCAAGCGAGAGGTCAGAGTTTCGGATACAGTGGCCACAGTCAAGCAAATATCCAATTTTTGGACCTGGATCGATCAACTACACTTCGAGAATTTTGAGGTCACGATTTCTCAAGCTGGATTGCTTGAATCCATGTGCTGAACTGGTTCAGGAGCACAAACGCAAGGTGGCGGAGGCTCATGCTGAGGCTGAGCGCCAAGCTGCCGAGCGGAAGAAGGCACTGAGTTGGATCTTTTCAAAGGAGTTTGGGTTTGAGAACCATTTTGTATGCTTACATGCCGAGTTCCCTACCTCTCCAGCAATCACTACAAGTCTACGCAAGGCTTCCATTATCTACCTCAATTGAACCCCCGAATCTCTGTGATCTCTGATCTCTGTGGCCGTGCCATTGGCCTAGGCGCTTGAAGAGGAGCTTCAGAAGAAGTCCATGCGGCCGCCTAAGTTTCCAAGTTTTCCGGACAGTTTCGGTAGCAATGGCAGCAACGTTTTTTCGGGCATCGGGCAGTCGTTGCAGGGAGGAACAGGACATGGAAGAGGAGCTTCGTCGCCTTGAGGAGGCCCACCTTGAGCCACGTAGCTGGCAGAGTGCCACGTTTGGTTTGGTTTTTGCAGAGTGATTCACTTGGGAACATTGAAATCTGTGTGGTCTGTGTATAGATGCTGAATGAAATCTGACTTGATAGATTCACGACCGGTATATATATATATATGTATATACACATACATGTATATATTTGTATACATACACATGGGTGTATATATATATATATACATATATATATATATGTATGTATGTATGTAATGTAATGTAATGCAATGCAATGCAATGTAATGCATTGTAAGGTATGGTAAGTATGTATGTATATTATTTTCAAGTATATAAAGCAATTGATATCACATGAATCAGGAGTTGGAGAAAGAGGAGGAAGAGCGTTTGGAGAAAGAGCGCCTTGAAGAAGAAGAAGCGGATGAGGAATGGGCAACTTGGCCGAACGCTTCCGCTTCGGACCGGGCGATTCTTCAGGCCCCGCTCTGGGATACCTGAGGCCAAAGAAATGTTGGAGGAGATGGGATATGACGAAGAAGATGTGCAGGACACTGCTGTTGGCTATGAATCATTGATAGTTGAACATGTTGAAAATAGCTCCTAGTCAGTTCGCTGCAGGTCCTGGTTTGTATCTTTAATGTCTGCATGATTTCTGTCGATAACCTTGCGAGATGTGGACTCTGCCAGCCCTACAAGGATCTGGCGGACCAATTTCGCTTCTTTGACAAGGACCCAGCAGTTGGGAGATCTGAGCCGTATCCAGCTGGGCTCACAGCAAGTCCAATTGCTGTGAACACTGACATCACTTTTCTATCGGTTTCTTCCACTGGCTGTGTTGGCTTCTAGAATTTCAAGGTGAACTGCCTTGGAACCGGGTATCGGGCTGGGTGTTTTTGCTACATCCCTGGCATTTCCTGGCAGGATGGCAATGGCTACATCGACCGGACGGAAATTGCTGAGGTCATGAAGGCCATGGGAGAAGAGCTGGACGACGAGACTTGGTGAAGTTCCAATTTTGCTTCGTCATCGATCAGATGTGTGGGGCTTCCAACAATGTCCAACAGTCCAACAATGTTGAATATTCTTGGTAGTATTAAATCAGTATTAGATGCAGCATGCCAACATTGCACACAAAATTCAAGGGCCCTTCGAGGTGTGTGAACCGCAGCTTAGGATGAACTCGATGAGCTGCTTGAAGAAGCCGATTCAGATGCAGATGGAGCGGAAAACTTACTGTCACCCTGTCTGATAGAGTCGACTTTGGAAATCATTTAAAACAAGAGTCCTGGGTGCAAAAATGAAGTGGGTCTGAAACTGCCTCAGCAGGACGAATTGACTATGTGGAGTTTGCCAAGATGATGCTCGGATGATTCTGAGGAAAAGGCAGATCCTGGAGTTTCCATGCCACATTTGAGTTTCGGTTCCTAGATGAAACGATAAAGCAAACAAGCAAGCAAGCAAACAAACAAACAAGCAAGCAAGCAAGGAAGGAAGCAAGCAAGCAAGCAGGCCGGCGAATAAACAGACAAACATACAGACAGACAGACAGATAGACAGATAGACAGACAGACAAACAGACAAGCAGACAAGCAGACAAACAACCAATCAAACAGACGGTACTGTATTCAAGGATCTAGTAAACCTTTTCATTCCACACAGTGTGGCAGATGGGGATGAAACAGAAACACCTGCTTGGAAGTCCCCTGTATGGTGACTATGGTGTTGCTGCTGAAGAATGCTTTCGATCTGCAAATCGCATCTGCATCTGCATTTGCTGCTGCATCTGCTGCTGCTGATGAGGAGGAGGAGGGCAGAAGGGGAGGAGGACGAGGATCATCTGCTGACCATCTGCTGATCATGCAGCATGATGCATGATTTCTGCCACGCATCTCAAGTGCCAGGCGTCAAGCCGGCACCAGGCCGAGGAAGATTGCCTCCTGAGGAGTAGGGTGTCATAGCCGGCAGAGGAGTCCCGAAGGGCACTTGCACGCTTTCTTTGGCCGTCCAAGGCATCAGATCAAATGATCCAGATGCGGATGATAAATCAAAGTTTGTGGGGCCCGGATGACACCATAGGCTCATGCAGCCTTGGCTGCTTCCTTAACTATAGAGACATTGGCCATCATCGACCTTAAGACCCTCAAATACTAGGGGATGAGACCTGAGAGCAGGGATGGGCATTGGACTGAAGGCTTTGCTTTCGGCTAGGAAGCAGCCACTGGCAGCGAACCGTTTGTCACTGCGCCGCTTCGAAGGAAGCTTGCCGACATGCTCCAGAGCATGCTTGGCCGATTGTGACGCGGCAGGATTTGGACCAAACCCTTTTGCAATTCGATGGCTTTCGCAGGTTTCTTATGCATAAGTTGCATTGCCTGCTGCGTTCCCTTTCTGGCTCTCTGCAGCTGAAAGCTGCCCGATACCCCAAGGTGAAAGCTCTTTATCAAATCACTGCAGGTGATTTTACATAAAATGAACAATGCAGACCATACAGATCGAGTAGAGGCCTTGCAACCAGGACCAAGTCTCCAATCAGCCCTAAGGCAGGTGAAATAACATCAGATGTAGTGCTGCAGGTGATGGTGACGAGTTTGTAGTTGCTCAATTCCTAAAGTACTGGTTGTCCTCGGTACCTGTTTTGCCCAGAGCAAGAGCGACTGACGTTCCTGGCTTAAGTGGTCCTTGACGGATCCCACAAACAATGGGTCAGAGAACTTTCAACACCTCCAACTACATATGTATGCTCAGAGTTTTTGCAGATCCAATAGTGCCCACTGGTACTATATACTTTAGCTAAATTCTAAACACATGCAAACCAGGTTTTCTAGTGGAAGCAGGAGCTTCACGACGGGAGGCTTTTGACGATAGTTCGGGCCCTACGACGACGGAGTGGCTATGTCACTACGACGGCACGACGACAGCATGACGACGACCTGACGACGATGTGCCGCCGGCACGACGACGATAGACCGACGGCATCATGACGGCATGACGACGACATGACGACGAGGCCACGAGGGTGCAACGACGGAGCGACGACCGTCACAAGCCCGGGTTCGGCGTCCAACCCCAGCTTATGACATGTCATAAGCCTGGGTTCGGCTCCGAACCTGGGCTTATGACATGTCAAACCCGGGCTTGTGACAGTCGTCGCGCTGTCGTTGCATCCTTGTCATGTCGTCGTCAAGCAGTCGTCATGCCGTCGGTCTATCGCCGTCGTGCTGCCGAGCTATCGTTGTCGTCGTGCCGTCGTCTCCATCATCATCATATCGACCCGTCGTGATTTTTCATATCCCACTAGCGCATGTCTTTTGAATTATGCTAATATATACTGTTCTGTCATGTCTTCGACATTCTTCGACTTTGTCACTGGCCGATGTTGGTTGTACACGCTTAAGTGTTGTTATGAAAGAACCAGATGGTGGCACGGAGGCACCACTTAGCTTTGGATGAAACATCTTGAGGAGAGCTGAGAAAGGGGACATCTATTCACCTTTTTGTTTTGCGGCACTTCTTTGAGAGGACGCTGTGCTTGGCACCGGCACGCTCGCAAGTAAAGGCTCCACCGAAGTCAATGCTAGATTCTTTGTCCTCATGGTCCAAGTGAACTCAACATATCTTAGGGCGAAAGGAATGATTAGATCCATTATGAATTATATGATCCATTATGCAATATGTGGAACCAAGGGGATTACATTGATGTCAGTGCCAGCGACGGTTCACTACATCTCAGGTCTTCAAACCTGAGAGAAACAATGTACGGTGTGTTTTGAGATAGCATCAGAGAGAGCAACAAGCGTCGCGCGAAGTGTTCTTGTAACACTATGATGCTCGGTACTTGTTCCGCATTGATGCGGTTTGAACTGTGATAATTTCTCGATCCACCCTCACCATCCCTCACTTATAAGTCTTGTTGGGGTAATCTTCTTGGGGCAACCACTGTTCTCAGTCAAAGCAGCTCAGCAACAGACACTTGTTCGCATTGAAATTTATGTGTCAAGCATAGTCATAGTCATTCTGGATATTCAGAAACAAATGGTTTGAATACAACAGGCCTTGGGAGCTTCCTGACTAACGTAAGACTTTGGCGCTGTACCAATGGGACTTTTTCAACTGGCTTGTTGATGAGGTTTTGGGCCCAAGGTGGCAGTGTGACAGTAGACAGGCTGCCATTCTAGGGGATTTGTCTTCTTGGCAAAGCACTAGTGTATACTAAGGCAAAGGGCAACAAGTACTGAGATGATTTTCCAAGTTTTCCCCTTGATATTTTAGGTCCAGAATTTCTTTGGCCGTTCCAAGTATTTCCAAGTCCTTTTAGTCTTATTGGCAAAATCCAAGAGCAGCTCTTGCAACCTGCAAATTTTGTCACAGCTACAATGGGAAAGAAGCCGACGCTTGGAAAAAAGAGACTGACACTGCTATGACTGGATATGTGGCAGTTTGGATTTGAGACTCTGAATTGAAGGGAAACGTGATCTCCAGTCTGCACATTCGATTCTTGACGTTTAAGTTTAATTTGCATCTACATGGAATGATTGGATTTGTTTCGGTCAAGTTTGGATGAATATGATGAATTTGGTATTCCTTCCAGGCTGATGGCCGGATGGTTGCCAAGATGATTTGCCCATGCGAAGTAAGAGGTGTTCTCGAAAGCTGGCTTCTACATGGTTCAACCTTTTATGGGAGAGTTGACATTTTTCCAAAAATGGATCAACATGTTGATCATTAAAAGACATGAACAATCATGGCAAATGAACATGTTTCATCAACAATCACATATTTTCCCGTCTCAGGAAAGCCAAAGCGGAGAAAGCTGAGCCGAAGGATCCTGCTCCAGCGGATGCTGCAGACCCCTGGTTGTGTCCTGAATGCGAGCAGGAGAACGCGCAGATCCTATGCAATGCCCATGTTAATCCCATCCGTGTCAAAGGGCCAGTACCAACCCAATCTAACTATCTAATCCAGAGGTTCTAGGAGGTATTGAGATTTCAATGGGGGTTAGTTCGTAGGACTGTTGTGGTTCACATGCTGAAGCAATATCCAGCCCGCGGCATGTGCTTCCAGGATAACCCCTGCGAGGAGGCTGCGTGCATCGCCTGTGAGGTGTGAGGAATCTCTGGTCATAACTCATGGCCATGGCCATAACTCATCAAAATGGCCCACCCTACAAATTCCCATGCAGAATCATGCAGATACCACATTCTTTGCAAGACTTGATCAGCTCATTGAGAAGCACCATTGCTACGCCTGCCGTTTCGTTCCAGTTCCGCAGAGGCTCCCAAGCCTGCGGGCGCTGCAGATGCAAAGTTTGAGAACTTTGTGGTAGCTTTGGTGCAAAGCTGCGAAGCAGTACCTGGCAAGGCAAATCGGATTCTGCTGAAACGTTGACAAACATCTGTAGAGATAAATAGATATACATGTTCATATACAAATGCGAAAACGCGCGCATACGCGTGCACATGCACGTGCACATCTTCTACACACATGAGTAAACATGGCGTGGGGAAATAGAATCATTTCTGCAAACGGAGAGCTTGCTTCAGTAATGGCAAGCACCCACTCAGACCAGAGGTCATCGGAGGACTTGGACCTGAGCCATCACAGACTATCGAGACCTAATAGCAAACCAAGACAACCAATGAACTCATGTAGAGGCTGGGACAGGAGAACTGAAGCCCATGGGCGGCCTTCAGGACAAGCTGAAAAAGCTGGAGGTAGATGTTGGAGGAGAGGTCTTGAAGATCGTCACGAATGCCTCTAACGTGAAGGAGCCACGTCACATCTCTGTGCTTCATTGGTGGTTTTAGATTTTGCGGGTTGCTGCTGGATGAAAGTGTCACTGTGGCAAGCTGGTGGAAACAAAGGTACAACTATCCTTATACTGAAACAGCTTAACAAATTAACAATATTAACAAACAATTGCGTAGCATTTTCATTTTCCCATTTTTTGATCCCGCTGTTAGCATTTTTTGATCAAGGTGTTCTCTGCATTGTTCTTTTTGGGCCGTGGGCCGAGGACGGAAGTCGCGTGGTGGTTGCCAAGGTGGGCGCCATCATTGACGGCGAGCCGCTGAAGAAAAGCGTCGAAGCTTTGCAGCAGTAATGCTGTGGAAATGCGGTGGACATATGCCGAAATGCTGTGGAAATATGCCAGGAACATGCTGAGGAAATATGACCCATATATTAACTGGAAGATGCTGTGGAATCTGTGGAAATGGTTGGGGCCGGTTGGGGCATGTCAGGTTTCAGAAGCTGGCAATACTGCTGGTACACTTCTCCACGGCATGGTTCTTGCATTCTTAAAGCATCATCTCGGCTTGATGTTTTGGAGTTAGCGCAGGCTTGACATTTTCTGATCTTTCATGATCTTTCATGATCTTTCAACTTGTTCACCAATGCTGGAGGTGTGATAGATGGATATAGATGGGACATGATGAGATTAAATGCACGTTCATTGTGTAAATGCAAGGGCTGCCACTCACCGAAAACACTGCCTGCCTGGAGATTACTGTTGATCCACATGCTTCACTGAGGTGGGCGGGTGCCCCTCTGAGGGCATGTTGTGTGTACCTCGGCTGCGTTTGGACTGTCCATGGCACGCGGTGAACTTGTCCTAGGTCTCCTAAGGAATTTATGACTAAAGATGGCTTTCGAGCTCTGCACCATATTGCACCCAAACTGCGAACCCATATTGAATATCTATCTGCGTGTCTATCTAACTAATCTATCTACAGTATCCTATCCTAATTTTTAATCTAATCTAATCCAATCTAATCTAATCTAATCCAATCTAATCTATCTATCTTCATTGAATTGCTGGACGTTCAGATGGGGTGATTCCAGGACAGCACTATGCTTGGGTGGTCGGGCGGTGGTTCTGGTGCAGCCTTGCTGCCGGACAGCTTTGCTCTGGGTGCTCCGCCACCCGACGCCCGGCCGCGCACCGATGGCAAGTGAGCGGACCAGTGGCGAGTCGTGACCAGAAATGGGCTGCGAGCTGATGGTGCTGACGTGTGCTGACCATGGATTTCTGGAAGTTTACATTTTTATACATTATACATTCTTAATATGTTGAATTTATGGAAGTTAGCGCACTTACTTGCAGGATTTTGGATATTGGCGAGTGGTATCTATCGGCAGGATTTCCATATTTGGCGTTGCTCTCTGCTTGCACAAAATCCGGAGTAATGCTTTCGTTCCCCACCGACATTTGAACAGCTCGAATGCAGCTACTAGTTCGGCCACACATCTCGGGATTTGAAATTGATTCATGTTCCCACTTACGTTCATCTTGGTGACATGCCACTGTTGATTAGCATAAAGGCTGGGTACTATTCGCAGCGTTTGGAAAAGGGTCTGGGCAATTATGGGAACACATTTCCATTCAAATTCTCTAGGCATTTGAATGGCAGTTTGCCAGGGAAGCTAGGGCCCTCAGGATTGGTGCTCCACCAAATCTGCCAGAAACAGGACATGAAACCAGCCTCGAAACATGTTTGCATCAGTCCTAGTCATGTCAACGGGAGAAATCTCATTGTGCGTTTCCATAGCCATCCTTTGTTGTTCATCTAGAGGAAGCACTATAGTCACCAGTCACTAGCGAGATAGGCACTGTTGTTCGCCATCGCGAGGAATTCCCAGGGGTTTGTGTACCGAATGTGCTCATTTGGAATTCAACTTTTGTGTTGTTCGCGCCTTCTTCTTTGGCTGCTAATTGGCTTGCTATTTGCCACATGCGTCCCACTTGCATCTACATACCTGTTTTCATGACCTGTTGACTATGTGATCTGTGGGGCACCCTGTCACGTTTAGAGATTAATTGCTCTCGTTTCTCAACACCCTGGATGTCAACATGTACAGTACGACCGTCTGCCTACGGCTCAAGATAACACGTGGAATGTACATGAATAGACTTGTGACTCAAAACATGGCAATCGGCTGTAGCTCACTTGCATTGGAACATTTGAACACTTCACCATCAAAATTCCAAATACAAGAAGTGTGCCCAAAAAAACATGAAGAATAGGCAAACAGGCGGTAGAGAACAAAAGAGTCACAATCTTCAAAGTGCAAGGTCCTTCTCATCGGAACTTTGCAATCTAGGCTGTTCTGTATTTTTGCGCCGACACTTTTTGGATGGAATGTGTTTGCCAGCGGTCCAAGAGCCGAAACCGGCGATTCTAGCTTACCAGCTTTCAGCCACTTGGCGAAGGAGCTGCCGTACTGTTCGTGGATCTCAAACACCGCACGCATCATCAATTGGTGGGTGGGGTGCAATGATGGATTGATGCTCCAGCTGGGTTCGAGATACTCAGCTGCCACACTGAACAATCTGAACACAACCAGTGCTGAGGACCTCTTCTCTTTGGTCATTTGCGGATACATTGGTGGCTGCTGTGTGCAACTCAAGTATCCTACACCACAACATGGCCACTTGGCAGCCAAGTCACGGCCGTTGCTACCGCACCTGGGCCTGGTGGATGGCTTGGTGGATGGGCTGAGGCTTTTGGCTGTACAGCCTCGCCGCGGCCTTGGTCACTGCCTTTGGTGGCGGTAGCTGCTATGCGCTGCTCATGAGCAGGCGGACGGCGACCCTGTAGGATGTTGCAGGGTTCAGTTGCCCCATGTTGCCCCGATTTTCGAAGTCAAGTCCTGTGGAAATGTCTGGAGGCCAGGTTGCAGGCGCTTTGGATGGCAGGAGAGGGGTGCATGGGCTCAAGAAACTGCACTATTGAAGGATCCAGTACAAACATGTAAACACATCTTGGGAGAAATTTGGCGAGGCTTACCAAAAGCCGGCAAACATATTAAACAACAATAAAAGGAATCAAGCAATAACAATCAAGAATCAAGAGATATCAATTGAGCCCACACGAGTCACTTTCGATCACTTTCGGCTTCCAAACTTTGCGTTGTCAGCGAGGACCCCTTTGCCCTGATGGCCGCCTTGGTCGGATTGTTTCTGGCCACCCAGGCTGTGACAAGTTGTGAGGACGACGGCTGCCCGCGGTGGAGCCGTTTGGGGTCATAGTCGGAAAATGAACGGACCCCCGGACCCCACAAACTGGTCGTCATTTACATGTACTAATATGTACTATCATTTTTTCGCATGATTATTTTTGTACTGACTAAGCCATCCATTTCATTTGGAGGGTGATGATTTTCAACTACCCCCAATTCTAGAACTGAAGACCGAACTATCCCACACGCTGACAGCTAGACTTTTGAATCAGTCAAATATGTTATGCAGCCAGCTGGACGCTTGGCTGCTTCATGACTTCGCTTCAAGTTCTTGACAGGAGGCATTCGGACATTGCACGGAGACTTTCCGCTTCTTTGATTGTGTAGCTTGGCCAATTTGGCCAAGTCTTTCTGACAGTCTGACCCACCTACCCACCTTCCATCCATGAAGTGCTTGTTTCGCCAAGGCGAACAATGCGATCCTCATTGCATGGGGTTGTAGCAAGTGGTTGCCCTGGTGGTTAGAGAAGCGCAGGATTCTACGGGTCCAGTGGGGAATAGAGAACACAGACAATCAGTCCAGACTTGCTCAGGGGTCCAGGAGATTCACACTTCTTGATTTCGAAGTCACCACTTCCATGATGTTGATGATATTGCATGTGCAGTCTGTGCTCTCTCATTGGTTGACCGACCTGGAAAAAGGTGGAAACAACCTGAAACAACATGATACAAGAATATGCGAGACAAATAATCACAGCACACACAAGGAGCACCTAGGCCTAGGCTTCATGTGGGCCTGTTCTCAGATGTGAGTTCTCGAGCCATTTCACCTCAAGTCTTGGTGTGGTCTGCGGAGCTTGTGGTAGCTTTGGATGCTTGGAGCAGCTTTGAGCCTTTGAAAGATCTGGGACCCACTGGGACTTGTTGCACAGCTTTGGGAGGATGACTGCACACAGGCTAGATGAGACAAACACCCACAGAGACATCGTCAGATCGATTTTGTTGGCAAGGAGAAGCACCACCATGCATCTCCGTAGGTCCAGTACATGGAATCAGTTTTCTGGCTTCGAGAACTCAATTCTGCACTCCTTGGATTTCCATTGCGTCTATGCCCATGTTTTCTTTGAATTCTTTTTTGAAGCTCCTCATGGGCATGCAGCAGATCAGAACAGGCGTTTGCACTTCCACCCAAGTGAAATGCTTTGACCTTTGACTTTTGATTCTTCCTCAGCTCAGGAATGATGTCCCGGCCGTTTTATGCCCTTGCACCTTGCAACAAAGTGCCTTGTCTGTCTAGAAAACACGCACAAGGGAGAAACAAAAAGAAGGGCAGAGTCTCACTGCCTTAGAATCTTGAAGAACCAGTTCGATCACGACCTCTGAACCCATAAATAATCCCAGTTTTTCCTAGACCCTGGTTGGGGTTGCCAAGAATACTCCCATTCAGGAGCAAGCGACTCCATTAAAGCGAAATTGTCCCATTCGCGATTCCGTGTTTGTTATGTCATTTCGATTTCGATTCTGAAGTTGTGAATTGTGCACAGTTTGCAATGCCACCGCTGATACATCGAAAGCCAACTCGAGTGCAACCAGTCATCCCAACATATCGTAGCATATGACATGGCATGGGATATAGTAATTTTGACAATGTTGACGTTCAAACTTGGATTCTTGGGATCTTTTTATAATGCTTCAGCCGGGATGTTGATTTGTCCTTATAATAGCAAGCCGCAAGCAGAAAAGGAGAATCAGAATAGGACTACTCAAGCTGTGCGAAGCATTGCTACCTTTTTGAGAAAGGGCTTGACAGCAAAATATTAAACAGCACGCATGCTTGATCATGACCACTTCTGAGCCGCCATGCAGTGAAGATATTTGCCTCTTCCCTTCGGAGGATGTTAGGGACGTCCATGAAACATACGTGGATGGTGAGTTGCTGACAGCCAGCCGCATACAAGTGGGTCCACACAGCATGAAACTTTATTTGGCAAAGCATGTGGCTGACCTGCTGGATCCTGATGATTTGGGCCTTCGACTTTGGCCTGGAACTCATGCCATGGCGTATCTTCTACTGAAACTGGGCCAAAGTGACCAAAGTGACCAAAGTGATCCCGACAGCGACTGCGTTGACCGTGGATCCTTTCGATCCTTTCGATCCTTTCGCGATCGATCGGTGCTGGACGTGGGCTGTGGCACGGGTTTCGTGGGGCTCCTGGCGCATTTGACCGGTGCCCGCAGGGTGGTTCTCTCTGATCGGCCGGGGCGAGCTTTGGAACTTGCTCGGCTCAACGCCGCCAGTGCCGCCAGCGCGGCCAACAGCGCTGCTGAGGTTGGTGGGGAAGCGGTGGAAGCGGTGGAAGCGGTGGAAGCGGTGGAAGCGGTGGAAGCGGTGGAGGTAAAGGCCTTATCCTGGGGAAAGGATGCAGTGGATGAAACTCAGGGCGAAGTGTTTGACGTGCTGCTTCTATCAGAGGTCCTCTATGTGGCTCAGCCTTCATGTGTACCATGGACTTTGGATGATGCCGATCTTCTTTCACTGGCAGAGATGACCAAGGCCAAACTGAGTGCGGAAGGCCATGCGTGGGTCACCTATGGGAATCGCGAGGCAGGTGGTGGCGAACAGTTCCAGAGAACTGCAGAGGCGGTTGGGCTACACTTTGAGGAGATTCCTTTGGAAGGTATCATCCCTGGGGAGGTCTTGGAGCGGAGTGGTGCTGCACTGCGCCGGGTGCGAATTTTCCACTTGCAACACGCAAGGGGCATGCTCAGTTCCCACATGGCTCCGAAATCCTCAAGTGAACGAGGACATACTCACTTTCAGAATCCTTTTAGATTTAGATTTTAGATATCAAGAATCTAGACATATGTAAGTAGGATGCAGGAATGCATAGGTTTCGTCATGTTGTAAGAAACGCAGCTCCTTCGGAGCTTGCATCAAAAAGACGCAGAACTTGACCCTCAAGCGCAGATGCTTGAGGAAAAACTGCTTGACTTGGCTGCATTGGGGTTCGGAATCCTCATTGCTTTTGCGTGTCTAAAGTTTCCGTGTTCGTTTCTATTGGTTTCTGCAGTTGCTGAGGTCCCTTGCAGATCTTGCAGACATTGATATGCTGAGCAGCCCAGCGGATTTCTACCACATGAAGGTCAGAGGGCTGCCGGCAGAACGTGGCGGGGGCAATAGGTCAAAACTTATTTTGCCTGCAGGTTGTGCCAACCGTTTTTGTGCGGTGCATGTTTATGGTTGCTGTGTTCCCGCATTCTCTCTGTTCCGTTTTCGAAACCCCACATGAGATTCTCCACATGAGATTTTCATAACCGTTTTGGCGATAATGCACATAGAAGCAACCCAGTGTGGCAGGTGGTGTGATTGTTGTCCACAGCAAGATCAGTAAGGTGAGAAGCTGATCATGATCGAGAGCGTGGAAGAAAAACAGCCAGGACTTGCAGCGGAACATTGCAGTATTCACCCCCAGACCCCACAGAAACAAGCGAAGTGGAACATGTCTTCAGTAGCGCTTCTCCATTGCTTTTGAAATCGACCGGATATCTCCAAATGCTGAGAACCTCTTTCTCGGGCCCATGTGGTGGCAAAGACGCGTACAACATAGCATTTTGTAGCTACAGGCTGCATGCTTGTCTAAGACAACACAGCATCTCGGAGATTGAATATGCTTATGCACAACTCAATCCTTTTGTCAACCGGGTGCCGGTGTTCATGTGTGTCATGAGGTAGTTACTATGCGATCTATCCTTTGAACGTTTCATACGTTTCATATGTTTCATGGCCTGATTTCTTCGCCTGCAGATTTCTGCGCGAACAGTTGCAACGCACTGCCAGGACATGCCAGGACTTGATGCACCTCCTTCGCACCTGGTGCACCCGGGCCGCACTTACGCGGCGGATGCGAAGCCGGGGCACACATGCGCACACTCGTTGTTGGTTTATGTTGGTTTATGTTTTACTGTTGACACTCGTCATGCCACCACTTCACGAAGTGGTTCCAAACAAGTCTGGTTTTCTAGTCATTAGCGGGTTGCATTGCACGTTTTGTATTAGGCTTTGCGTGAGGTTGCGCTGCATGAGCCCAGCGACTGGTCGCACAGACATGATAAGTGCTACCCATTTGAGTATGTGTGTGCCGCTCCGCTAGTTGCGTCGCTTTGCTCTTCCACACTGTGGTGTTCAAATAAATCAGCCACCAGCAAGTTCAGACAAGTGGAGAGATTCTGACCCATTGTGACGTCATTTTTAGTCTTCGTCTTCCTATGTCCTCATAAAAACTTTCACTACAGTGCACTTCAAATACTGGCCATCAGCCAGCAAAACAAGAGTGGAGTGGTTTGATGACTCCAGCACTGTCCAGTGATTGGTGGCACAGCGGTTTGCTTTACTGATGTCATCCTTCCATAGCCTTGCAACACTCCGCTTGCCCTTAATATGCAAGCTACCATGCTGAGACACCAAGTTCCTCCAAATGTGGGATGGACCCCAAACCCAAGCATGGACACATATGATATGGATACATATTGTAGACTGTGGCTTCCAAGTTAACACACCAACTTAGCAACCCAACTGACCCAGCTGTTCGCGCCAATGGAACCGGGGGCCTTCGGCTTCCGCTCGCGCCGGGCACCTGTCTATGGCGCGCGCGGCATGGTGGCGACCAGCCAGCCCTTGGCCAGTGAGGCCTTGAGAATTTCGGCCCGTTGCAAAACAATGACTGGACCATGGTGAGCTCATTTGCATTCATTTGTAAAGAGCACCCATGACAGTCGCATAGACAGTGAGGATGAGTTCTTTTGAGACTGTTTGCTTTAGGCTCAAAAGGGTATGCCCCGAACTTGTAACAAGTGTAAGTTCGGGTTTGTGTCAGAGTCCGATTCCTGGTGCATCGGGTGCCTCAAACTTGAAGCCTCGCAAGGGGTCCTGAGACAGAGGTGGCTTCACCCAGGGCTCAGGCAAATCTGCGAGGAGACTCTGCTGAACGCAGCTCGCCTGACCAGAGCCTTCGCTAACCTGGACAGGGCATTGCCGGCTGGTGAGCAAGAGTGTGCACCCCTGACAATTGCCAAGGCCAAGGCAGCCCGACGGCCACCTCTGCCAACGACATCCCCTTGTGCCTCTGAGCGTGAGGCTCGTGAGGCCCACTCAGAAGCGACCGAGAGTCCCGACTGGGGAAATGAGGAGGAAGAAGCTGATCGTTCAACGTTCAGATCGTGCTCGGGACTTCCTCCCATCGCCTCCACCACGTCCACCACAGGCATCGGCTGCTCGTCCACCGGAACCACCAGGTTCAAGCACATTTCCCTTCAATTACACCGGCATAGACCCCAGATAGAAAAGATTTCAGAAACGTTTTTTCATGCCGCGTCAATGGGTCAGTGATATAGCGGATGTCTCGACAAGCAAATTTCACAGCATCTGCCTACTCAATTGACATGAGCAAATATTCTTTGAAAACGCGTTTTGTTTTGTCTTGTTGAATGATCAAAATGATGATGCGTTTGGACTCAAGGATTTGCGTGTCGGATTGACATCACAGAGGTTGCGTCAAAAAAAAAGTGTTTTTCCTTGCCGCCCACGATTTCCAACCTTGGAACCTTGAAATCGCATTTGAAGGCAATCCTGGTTCCCAACGATTCAAGCAAGTCTGGCAACTTTCATGCATCGGTATTGCTTGGTTTTGCGTAATGGGCCGGTAACAGAACGCTTTGTTTGGCTTAATGTTAGAATGATATGAAAACATGTTCTTTACAGCCTTTTGTTTTGCTTAATGGGCCGGCATCAAATTGCTTATCTGTAACACGCGGCAGTCCTTGGTAAACGCACACGCCTCCATATGACTAGGTTCCTATTTTCATCACGCTTTGATGTTTTCATATGACTAGGTTCTCCACGCTTGCCACTGAACAAAACCATTAACGGACTACGATTGCAGAAATTGCCGCTTCCACGAAATTGAAACTCATGGTTCCCAACGTGGCAACCATAGGTTTCCATTTCCAGCAATTACCAAATCCTGAAATTTGGAACTCATGGTTGCCAACCTCGTAACCAAAGGTTACCATTGCAAGGAACTGCCGGCACCCACACCTTGAAACTCATGCTTCCCAACCTGGGAACCAGAGGTTACCATTGCAACGAATTGCCGGTTCCCAGAAGTTAGAATTTATGTTTTCGAAGCTAAGCGGCCATCATTGTAAGGAACTGCGGGTTGCGAAAGCTTGAAACTCATGGTTCCAAACCTGAAAAAGCATACGTTACCAGTGGAAGGAACTGTTGATTCCCAAAAGGTAGAACTCATGGTTCTTAATGTTGTTTTGTTTTGTTTACTGAGCCGGTAACAGAACCTTTTGTTTTGCTTAATGGACCGGTAGCGGAATGTTTGCGTTTGGCTGATGGGCCGGCAAAAAAATGTTTTTGCACGAAAAAGGTGCATGTTAAAATGATATGAAGACATTTTCTTTACAACTTTATGGTTTTGCTTAATCGACCGGTAAAGAACGCTTTGTTTTGCTTAATGGGCCGGTACCGGAATGTTTGCGTTTGGTTCATGGCAAGGAACTGCCGGTTTCAAAAGGTTGGAACTCACGGTTGCCAACGTGGGAACCACAGGTTACCATTGCAAGGAACTGCCGGTTCCCACAGGTTGGAACTCCTGGTTCCCAACCTGGGAACCATGGGTTACCATTGCAAGCAACTGCCGGTTACCAGAGGTTGGAACTCATGCTTCCCAACCTGGGAACCATAGGTTACCATGAACTGCCGGTTCCCAGACCTTGAAACTTACGGTTCCCAACCTGGGAACCAGAGGTTACCATTGCAACGAATTGCCGGTTCCCAGAGGTTAGAACTTATGTTTTCGAAGCTAAGCGGCTATCATTGTAAGGAACTGCGGATTCCCAAAGCTTGAAACTCATGGTTCCAAACCTGAAAGTGGAAGGATCTGTTGATTCCAAAAAGTTAAAACTCATGGTTCTTAATGTTGTTTTGTTTTGTTTACTGAGCCGGTAACAGAACTTTTTGTTTTGCTTAATGGACCGGTAGCTGAATGTTTGCGTTTGGCTGATGGGCCGGCATAAAAATGTTTTTGCACGAAAAAAGTGCATGTCAAAATGATATGAAAACATTTTCTTTACAACTTTATGGTTTTGCTTAATGGACCGGTACAGAACGCTTTGTTTTGCTTAATGGACCGGTACCGGAATGTTTGCGTTTGGTTCATGGCAAGGAAGTGCCGGTTTCAAAAGGTTGGAACTCACGGTTGCCAACGTGGGAACCACAGGTTACCATTGCAAGGAACTGCCGGTTCCCACAGGTTAGAAGTCATGGTTCCCAACCTGGGAACCAGAGGCTACCTTTGCAAGCAACTGCCGGTTACCAGAGGTTGGAACTCATGCTTCCCAACCTGGGAACCACAGGTAACCATTGCAAAGAACTTCCGGTTCCTAAAGGTTGGAACTCATGGTTCCCAACGTGGGAACCAAAGGTTACCATGGCAAGGAACTGCCGGTTCCCAGACGTTGAAACTTGCGGTTCCCAACTTGGGAACCAGAGGTTACCATTGCAACGAATTGCCGGTTCCCAGAAGTTAGAATTTATGTTTTCGAAGCTAAGCGGCTATCATTGTAAGGAACTGCGGGTTCCGAAAGCTTGAAACTCATGGTTCCAAACCTGAAAAAGCATACGTTACCAGTGGAAGGATCTGTTGATTCCAAAAAGTTAAAACTCATGGTTCTTGATGTTGTTTTGTTTTATTTACTGAGCCGGTAACAGAACCTTTTGTTTGCTTAATGGACCGGTAGCGGAATGTTTGCGTTTGGCTGCTGGGCCGGCAAAAAAAATGTTTTTGCACGAAAAGGTGCATGTCAAACTGATATGAAAACATTTTCTTTACAACTTTATGGTTTCGCTCAATCGACCGGTAAAGAACGCTTTGTTTTGATTAATGGACCGGTACCGGAATGTTTGCGTTTGGTTCATGGCAAGGAACTGCCGGTTCCCAAAGGTTGGAACTCACGGTTGCCAACGTGGGAACCACAGGTTACCATTGCAAGGAGCTGCCGGTTCCCAGAGGTTGGAACTCCTGGTTCCCAACCTGGGAACCATGGGTTACCATTGCAAGCAACTGCCGGTTACTAGAGGTTGGAACTCATGCTTCCCAACCTGGGAACCATAGGTTACCATTGCAAAGAACTTCTAGTTCCTAAAGGTTGGAACTGATGGTTCCCAACGTGGGAACCAAAGGTTACCATGGCAAGGAACTGCCGGTTCCCAGACGTTGAAACTTACGGTTCCCAACCTAAGAGCAGAGGCTACCATTGCCAGGAATTGCCGGTTCTCAGAGGTTAGAACTTATGTTTCGAAGCTAAGCGGCTATCATTGTAAGGAACTGCGGGTTCCCAAAGCTTGAAACTCATGGTTCCAAACCTGAAAAAGCATACGTTACCAGTGGAAGGATCTGTTGATTCCAAAAAGTTAGAACTCATGGTTCTTAATGTTGTTTTGTTTTATTTACTGAGCTGGTAACAGAACCTTTTGTTTTGCTTAATGGACCGGTAGCGGAATGTTTGCGTTTGGCTGATGGGCCGGCAAAAAAATGTTTTTGCACGAAACAGGTGCATGTTAAAATGATATGAAGACATTTTCTTTACAACTTTATGGTTTTGCTTAATGGACCGGTACAGAACGCTTTGTTTTGCTTAATGGGCCGGTACCGGAATGCTTGCGTTTGGTTCATGGCAAGGAAGTGCCGGTTTCAAAAGGTTGGAACTCACGGTTGCCAACGTGGGAACCACAGGTTACCATTGCAAGGAACTGCCGGTTCCCAGAGGTTGGAACTCCTGGTTCCCAACCTGGGAACCATGGGTTACCATTGCAAGGAACTGCCGGTTCCCAGAGGTTGGAACTCCTGGTTCCCAACCTGGGAACCATGGGTTACCATTGCAAGCAACTGCCGGTTCCCAGAGGTTGGAACTCCTGGTTCCCAACCTGGGAACCATGGGTTACCATTGCAAGCAACTGCCGGTTACTAGACTCATGTTCCCAACGTGGGAACCAAAGGTTACCATGGCAAGGAACTGCCGGTTCCCAGACGTTGAAACTTACGGCTCCCAACCTGGGAACCAGAGGTTACCATTGCAACGAATTGCCGGTTCCCAGAGGTTAGAACTTATGTGTTCGAAGCTAAGGGCTATCATTGTAAGGAACTGCGGGTTCCGAAAGCTTGAAACTCATGGTTCCAAACCTGAAAAAGCATACGTTACCAGTGGAAGGATCTGTTGATTCCAAAAAGTTAAAACTCATGGTTCTTAATGTTGTTTTGTTTTGTTTACTGAGCCGGTAACAGAACCTTTTGTTTTGCTTAATGGACCGGTAGTCGGAATGTTTGCGTTTGGCTGCTGGGCCGGCATAAAAATGTTTTTGCACGAAAAGGTGCATGTCAAAATGATATGAAAACAGTTTCTTTACAACTTTATGGTTTTGCTTAATCGACCGGTAAAGAACGCTTTGTTTTGATTAATGGACCGGTACCGGAATGTTTGCGTTTGGTTCATGGCAAGGAACTGCCGGTTCCCAAAGGTTGGAACTCACGGTTGCCAACGTGGGAACCACAGGTTACCATTGCAAGGAACTGCCGGTTCCCACAGGTTGGAACTCCTGGTTCCCAACCTGGGAACCAGAGGTTACCATTGCAAGCAACTGCCGGTTACCAGAGGTTGGAACTCATGCTTCCCAACCTGGGAACCATAGGTTACCATTGCAAAGAACTTCCAGTTCCTAAAGGTTAGAACTGATGGTTCCCAACGTGGGAACCAAAGGTTACCATGGCAAGGAACTGCCGGTTCCCAGACGTTGAAACTTACGGTTCCCAACCTGGGAACCAGAGGTTACCATTGCAACGAATTGCCGGTTCCCAGAAGTTAGAATTTATGTTCTCGAAGCTAAGCGGCTATCATTGTAAGGAACTGCGGGTTCCCAAAGCTTGAAACTCATGGTTCCAAACCTGAAAAAGCATACGTTACCAGTGGAAGGATCTGTTGATTCCAAAAAGTTAAAACTCATGGTTCTTAATGTTGTTTTGTTTTATTTACTGAGCCGGTAACAGAACCTTTTGTTTTGCTTAATGGACCGGTAGCGGAATGTTTGCGTTTGGTTGATGGGCCGGCATAAAAATGTTTTTGCACGAAACAGGTGCATGTCAAACTGATATGAAAACATTTTCTTTACAACTTCATGGTTTTGCTTAATGGACCGGTACAGAACGCTTTGTTTTGCTTAATGGACAGGTACCGGAATGTTTGCGTTTGGTTCATGGCAAGGAACTGCCGGTTCCCAAAGGTTGGAACTCACGGTTGCCAACGTGGGAACCACAGGTTACCATTGCAAGGAACTGCCGGTTCCCAGAGGTTGGAACTCCTGGTTCCCAACCTGGGAACCAGAGGTTACCATTGCAAGCAACTGCCGGTTACCAGAGGTTGGAACTCATGCTTCCCAACCTGGGAACCATAGGTTACCATTGCAAAGAACTTCCGGTTCCTAAAGGTTGGAACTCATGGTTCCCAACGTGGGAACCAAAGGTTACCATGGCAAGGAACTGCCGGTTCCCAGACGTTGAAACTTGCGGTTCCCAACTTGGGAACCAGAGGTTACCATTGCAACGAATTGCCGGTTCCCAGAAGTTAGAATTTATGTTTTCGAAGCTAAGCGGCTATCATTGTAAGGAACTGCGGGTTCCGAAAGCTTGAAACTCATGGTTCCAAACCTGAAAAAGCATACGTTACCAGTGGAAGGATCTGTTGATTCCAAAAAGTTAGAACTCATGGTTCTTAATGTTGTTTTGTTTTGTTTACTGAGCCGGTAACAGAACCTTTTGTTTTGCTTAATGGACCGGTAGCGGAATGTTTGCGTTTGGCTGATGGGCCGGCATAAAAATGTTTTTGCACGAAAAATGCGCATGTCAAAATGATATGCGGCAACGAAAAAGCGCCTTGGCTCAGACCCTGCACAGCACCCTGCACAGCACCCTGCACAACGCCTTTGCCAGACTTCGGCACCGCAATCTGGACAGCACCCTGCACAGCACCCTGCACAGCACCTTGGCCAGACTTCGCCACCGCAGTCTGGACAGCACCCTGCACAGCACCCTGCACAGCACCTTTGCCAGACTTCGCCACTGCAGTCTGAACAGCACTCTGCACAGCACCCTGCACAGCACCTTGGCCAGACTTCGCCACTGCAGTCTGAACAGCACCCTGCACAGCACCCTCCACAGCACCTTTGCCAGACTTCTGCACCGCAATCTGGACAGCACCCTGCACAGCACCCTGCACAGCACCTTTGCCAGACTTCGCCACCGCACTGGACAACACCCTGCACAGCACCCTGCACAGCACCTTTGCCAGACTTCGCCACCGCAGCCTGGACAGCACCCTGCAAAGCACCCTGCACAGCACCTTTGCCAGACTTCGCCACCGCACTCTGAACAACACCCTGCACAGCACCCTGCACAGCACCTTTGCCAGACTTCGCCACCGCAGTCTGGACAACACCCTGCACAGCACCCTGCACAGCACCCTGCACAGCACCTTGGCCAGACTTCGCCACCGCAGTCTGGACAGCACCCTGCACAGCACCTTTGCCAGACTTCGCCACCGCACTCTGAACAACACCCTGCACAGCACCCTGCACAGCACCCTGCACAGCACCTTTGCCAGACTTCGCCACCGCAGTCTGGACTGCACCCTGCACAGCACCCTGCACAGCACCCTGCACAGCACCGTGCTCAAAAGTTCGCCACCGAAGACCCCACCTTTGAGAAGTAAGAACCCCTATAGCTTGCCAGCTATCTGGGGAAAAAATCAACAAGAAATGGTTACATGTTGAAGACAGCATGGATGGACCCTACATATCACGAAAGGTAGCGTCAGCTACCTGAATTCTCCGTGCTTCAGCACAATCATTGGGGGTATTGGGGGGCCAGCCCGTGCAAAACGTAGAATTCTCGACGTTATGTATTAGATATCAATTCTAAGGGGGGGGCCCCCTCCCCCTAAAATGGTCATGGGTTCAATTCCCACAGGTGACGCGGTCACGGTCCTCCACAGTAGAGGCACACTCTCCATGAGGAGTCATGAGGGAGATGCCCCTGTAGTCCAGCATAATTGGTTTGCTTCAGCCAAAATAACAGTTGCTACAAGGGGTCTTAGAAAGGGGTTTTAAATAAACCCCTTTTCGTGCATCATTTCACGCTGCACAAGACACCGTATCATGCAGTCATGCTCTGGATAAAATCATCTCAGACTGCGCAAAAACGTTTTTGGTGTATCATCTTAGGGGCGCAGCATTTTGACACCACTCCTCTCCCACTACACTACCTTTCGTCCGCCTCCGCCTGCTCTCAAGTTGTCAAAGGGACGAACTTCCAGCCGGGTCCTTCAACCCCTCTGCAATCGCATTGGCTCAATACAGCTTGCTTTGGGGGTCACCTTATTGCATGCTCACGTGGGCTCAACAGAAAACTCCACTGATGCTGCTTCTCGCCGGTAGAGATGCCGCGGCACCTCCCTCGTGTGCTGCTTGCGGGCCGGTCACAGAGGGAGAGACGGCGACCAAAGCACGGTACGTTACTCTTGCCTTTTTTAAAGGCCCAGAAATCCTTAAAGGACCTTGGCTCAATCATTGCGGAGTGGGCCGAGCTTCAGTGGGCTCGGGCTGCTCCGCTGGCAACTATAGGTGACGGCCTCTGCGGGCTGCACTTTTTCTGGCCTGAATGGCGGGCCCCTTGAAAGATAGCCGGCGGCTTTTCAAGTCGTGGCGCTGGGTGGAAGTCCCCTCGCCCGCCCCCGCTTACTGTGGTGTCTTGCCAGAGCTTTGGTGGCAAGGGCAGTGCACCAGAATAACTTGCGGATGGCTGGACTGCGCTCATCAGTCTTGGTAATCATGCGCTGCTGAAGACAGGAGAACTCTTTGCAGTTGCAATTCCAAGACCTTGAGGTTTGCCATGAGTGTGGCATTGTTAGCTTGAAGTGTAGCAAATCTGGATTGCGCAGCGGGGCACAAGAAGCCGTTGCTCTGCGGGACCCCCTTTGTCTTCAGATCCTGCTCGCTTTATATATTCGTTTCAACGCCCCACAGCCCTGGTGACAAACTCTGGCCATATAGTGCTCAGGCCTTTAGGCGTGGTTTTAAAAAAGCTGGTTTCCTTCTTTAACGCCAAGCAATTCAACTTCAACCCTTACTCCTTGAGAAGAGGTGGGGAAACATTTTTGTTGCAAGAGGGACTGGCTCTGGAGTCGATCTTAGTGCGAGGACGCTGGAAATTTAAAGCCTTGCTGTTGGCGCCTCTATCTAGAGGACGGACTGGCACAGGTTCCTTCTTTGCGTTTCTCTTTGCATGATCGGCACCACTTAGACTTTTGGGCCAGAAAAACCATTGTTACAACTTTCAGGCCTCGCTGACCTTCAGGTCCTGTCTCGGGGCCGTAGATAACAGAAGGTCAATTGGTCTCAAAATTAAGGAGCGGTCCTGACCCATACCAATTGGAAGCAGACCATCTCAAAAGCTGAGCTCCCAATTCCATACCTTTTGGATTGGAACCATGCATGTCCGGCCAGCCATACCATTTGGCTATGGCATAGCGGCTATGGGCCATGTTTCAAAGGAAAACATATTTCCTCCAGTTTCAGGATGTTTCTGGATGACCTTCGGTCCAGCACAGTCGGAAAAAGAGAACCGAATCCTTGACAGTCGCGTAGACAATTAGGATGAGTTCTTTTGAGACTGTTTGCCGTGGGCTTTAGGCTCAAAAGGGCCCTGCCCTCCCAAACCAAAGGGATAACAGAAGACCAATTGGTCTCAAAACTAAGGAGCGGCCCTGGCCCATACCAATTGGAAGCAGGCCGTCTCAAAAGCTGAGCTCCCAACTCCATACCCTTTGGGTTGGAGCCATGCATGTCCGGCCAGCCATACCATTTGGCTATGGGCCATGTTTCAAAGGAAAAAATATTTCCTCCAGTTTCAGGTTTCTTGGATGACCTTCGGTTCAGCACAATCGGAAAAAGAGAACCGAATCCTATGAGTAGGACCTAGGGAGACCTCTAAATTCGGCTTGTGGAGAGATTGCATGACAGCATTGCTTCTGAACGTTTCGGGTGGATAACCCGGTGAGGCTGGGCTGAGGATACTTCAGGAGGGTGGCACGGCAGCAGATGCTTGTGTAGCAGCCGCGGCAGCGCTGAATGTCACGGAGCCCTGCAACACTGGTCTCGGAGCCATGGGGCTGCGAGTGTGAGGGAAGGATCCGATTAGGATCTAAGGGATTCTGATCTGGCAGTGTTTTGTAGAGTTTTGCATGATTTTGTATTTGCCCGTTCAATCGATAGTGCGCTTGGGAACTATTAAGAAGTACTTGATAGTATTTGGATTTTTCCCTTGGGGGTTTTCCAGTTCCCCTTCCTGCGGAGCCACCGCAGGAGGGGATGCTTTTGCCCTATTCTACGAAGCCAAGACGAAGAAGGCAAGGCCAGTGGTAGCGGAGATTTCCTGGAGGAACTATGCCTCAACAAAGGTGAAATCATCACCCTTTGTGCAGAGGTCCCTGAACCACTTAAACATATTTGCATTGCAGGAATGGATTACAGTATCTTTTCTAACCCGCACGGGCTCCACACAGATGACGCACATACCCACACAAACACATGTGAGGTCGGTTTTTTTATGCATTTTTTTCCATTTCAGGAATCTGTAGGGCGGACAGTGGACAGCCTGAGAGGACGTGGCTAAGTGGCACACACACACACTTCCAACTGTGACGAGGTTCACTGCCTGCAAGGCTGTGGGCGTTCGCCAGCTGGATTGACCTTGGAAACCGTCCGAGCACACCCAGATGTAGCAGGTCCACAGTGATATTTAGTGAATCCATGAAACTTTCCAGTGAACAGTGATGTCAATAGCAGCACGTCCAAGCTGAGCTTCATGGGGTGGTATCCCCTACTGGAAGGCTCCGAGCTGAATCCTTTGAGCGCTCTGTGTGTGACGGTCCCTGGCAGCGCTGCAGCATGGGAAGCGGCCATTCAGCGCTGGGGAGTCAAGACGCTGAGGCACCCTCTCAACCACTTTGGAATGCTGCACTTTGGATGTTTCATGCCAGAAATTGGTCCAGAAAAAATGGAGCTCTAAATTTCATTGCGGGATATGGCCAGAATCGCAACATACCATACTTATTGTGGTCAGTGTTTCTCCGGGATGCTTGTGGATGCTGCTATTTGTACCTTGATGGTTCTCCTTGAAGTATCCCCGTGCTGAGATTTGCTAAGGGAGGTGTTAACGCCCGCCATCGAGTTGGCAGAGGAAGGCTTTCCCGTGTCCGAGGGAGCTGCCCAGATTTGGAAGCACAGTGAGGCGCGATCAGCCCCAGCTTAGAGATGGGAAGTGGCTCATAGCTCCCATGGCACCAATCAGGGTGCTGACTTTTGCTGACTTTTAAGTGCTACATCATTCGAGATGTCAGCTTCTGGACAGGATTTGCTTCGGCGAGCTGCAAAGGGAGGTTCAACTCCTTATCTCCCCGATGGTCGGACTCCGCGAGCGGGGAAAGTCTTCAGGACATTGTGATGTTTCAGCGTTGCTTTTGCAATCTTCCCATTGGCATCCAATGCGTGGTCAGATGATGGGCTCAAAAACTTGGTCCACTGCAATCGGAAAAATAAACATATTAGAAAGTTGTCCAAAAGACCTGTACGCTGCCAACCTGCAGCCACAAGCTCGGTCCAACATGCCCCATAGGACCTGTATGTTGCCAAGATACAGCCCCAAGCTGTAGGTAGCCAACATGCACCGTATTTCCTTCAGTTTGCCAACATACGGCCCCAAGCTCTGTCCAACAGACCTGTAGGCCCCACGACCTGTACCCAAGTTCGGTCCAACAGGCCCCAAAAGACCTGTAATTGGGATGCCAACATGGAGCCCGCTAGGAACCCAGACTTGGCTCGAACCATGCGGTTGCTGGGCGAGAAGGGTGCGAAGGCATCCGGGTACAAACTCCAGAGAAGAAGAAGGGCACCAGAAATGAAGTTTTGCAATGTTGAGCATAGTTTCACACGTCCTAGTGCAGAATGCCATGCCACCGAAGTCAGCCCCACAATGAAGATAAGGCAACTAGTTTCAGTGACCGTTTGCATCTCCAACTTAACAATCAGTCAAGGGCGCCGAGAACATGAAAAACCAATAAATTTGGGCTGTGGCTCTCAATCCTTCCAGGAAGGCTTCTACACAGGAAGGGTGGCAGAAGAGATCGTTAAGGCATTGGCCTCAAGAGGCTGAGTAGGGCCCGGGTGTCAGAGATTGTGCTTTGAGGAAGCATTACTTTTAAAAGCGGCACTCTGCCAGACTTGGACTTGGTTTGGAAATGCATACTGGATTTATGTTGGGACGCTCCCGATTCCGATCTAATAATTCCTGAAGTACTGCACCAACACTTTGGCTCTGTCATTTATGCCATTCTGGTCAGCCATTCTGTAATGGAGAAGCACCGAGTGGAGTCTCCAGCACAGCTTCCCTGCAGGCGGCGTTATGACTGTGGAGGATTTGGCTGCACATTGCAGCAGCTTTGTCGAACCAATCAGAGCCTTGCCAGCAGATTGGAAGAAGACCAGGTGGATTGCACGGCAGGTGTGCGCACCTGCCATATGCTGCAGCTTCTCTGAGATATTTGCCGTGGATAGTTTTCCATTGCCAGATTGTCATGGTAACGTGGTAACGCTGGTAGCACTTAGTCATGATTTGCTTTGAAGTAGGCAGACCTGCGCATGACCAGGCTTTTGTGCCCGTAACATGTCTATTTGGACGCACTTGAGGTACCTGCTTCCGTGGGAAGTATCGGCTCTATGAGTGCCCTCCGCCCACGCAGGGCGTCACGGTGCCTTGGTAAAGTCATGGTATGACTCGGTATGACATGCAATGCAATGTGAAATGAAAACTGGGTATGAAGTGCATGTTGATCATGTTGCTTGATGTGACTTACCCAGATTCATTGTAAAAGTTCGCTGGCCATATGAGCGATGCGAGGCACTTATGGCTTTGAACTTGTTGGAACAGGTTCCAGTTCTGCCGCGCTTGAGCACTGCAGCCATACATGCGCAATCAGAGGCTACACCGACCAAAGTGACCAAAGCGATGTGTTAGTCATGTGATGTCAGGTGTAGGCCTGTAAGCACTTGATGCACTTTGATCGTGATGCAGCGATGCAACTATTTGATCCCGGCTGCCTCTACCGACAACCACTCTGATCACCATTTTTTGTTTGGGTCGGATATCTGATTTCAGTCGCAATATGTCGCAATCGAAATAACGGGCAAGCTGTTGATGTTGTTCACCTCAAGCCAATGGTCTTTTCATAGATTTCAGTCTGACCATGCCGCATATCTATGCATATTTTCAGGATGTTCCTAAGGCTATCACATCAGAAGGCCAGCAAAATGGTGAGTACGAGATTTATGAAACGCATTGGTCGAATCTATACATTTATGATTTATGAGCCTTATTTGTGTTTGACTTTCCTGTTCCTAGGTGCAGGGATCAGTACAACCAGGTGCACCCCCTTCGCATGTGCAGAGGCCCTACGCTTTGCCTTTGCGGACGCCTTGCAGTTCTGTGCTGACCCGGCGGCCGGCGCAGGAGTTGCGGGGCTTCTTGACAAGGCCAGGACTTAGCATCGGACACCAGGAGCCAATTCATACGATGCAAACTTTTTAGACTGAGCCCATCTGAGCCCCCTAAAATTCTAAGGATGTCATTGAAGATGTCATTCAAGACGTGACAATCAGCTGAGAACTTCTCTGCGACAGGACCGAGCTGCAGCCCGCTGGAAGCAGCTGTGACCTGGCAAGATTCTTGTCCAGTGCATGACGTCACGAGATTGATGTTGATATGTACTGCTTCACATGCTGTTGCATTTGCCTTTGGGAGAAAACGTGTGAACCATTCCAGAGCTCTGCTGGGACATGACGCCCTCCTCCTCCTCATCATCATCATCATCATCGTCATCATCATCATCATCATCATCATCATCACCATCATCACCATCATCACCATCAAGGAGTCCTTGCCCCGTGCACTTTCCAGGTATAGTGCCAATGCTCGGGCGAGCAAAGTACCGCCAGATGCCGAGAGGCTGCGCATGGGCCCTGACACTGCCTGGAGCTTAATTCTCAGAGCACGTTTCAATGTTCTCACATGGGTATGGGGCCAATAGCGGGGTACGAATGGACCATAATGGACGAACACAATTGCTGATTTTTAGCCTCAAAAACAATTCGCGCCCAATTAATATTCGGGGTCAAATAATGACCCATACCCATATTTGCTCTACTGCGAGGACAGTATTACGCTTTCAGAAATCGTATAACAGGGCATGTGATTCTGCTGAACTGGGCTCTTCTGCTGGAACAGCCTTTGCAGCCGTTTCAGTTCGTTGCACAATGTGTCAGGTTTCTCAACAGGTGACGGCAGTTCAAATCAGATTTAGCTGTACTAATTTGTGCTACGACGCTAGGACCATTCTTGGAACCAGCAATGAGTCTTGAAATCTAGGCCAAAATCCCAAGCATATCTCAGCTTTTAGCTGCTTTGGCCCTTGAGATCCCTTGAGCCCCTTTGAGACCCGAAAGTTTTCGGCCATGGCGGATGATGCCAACCGTTCAGCCCCCTTCCTGGCAGCGAACGGTGCAAGAGATGTGGAACTCACAGCTACGGATGCCACCGTTCCAGCGATGAATGGTGAAGGGCCAGCCCCCGATGCTGATGTGCGACGGAAAAACATCAAAGCCATGCGGCTTAGCTAGTTTGATTCATAATGATTCCTAAATCATGTTTGATCATGTTGATCATGTTTGACCTACTTTGTCTCAGATTCTTTTTGCACTGCTTTTGCGGTTTGGTGCTGGGAATTGAGACGTCAACTCAGAGAAGTTAATAGTCGGACGACTTCACATCCAATGTGGCATCAAATTTGATCCCCAAACCTCCACCGTACAGACTTAGAGGCTCGAAAAAAACATCCTGGTTCCAAACAGGTGTCCCAGCCCGGTAATTTCTTTGACGAGCCTTTTAAGTGGGCGAGTCCTTATGTCTCAGCAACTGGTCAACTGAGTCAACTGCATCCAGCCATGGAATTTTCGCAGGTTTGCATTTCAGCTTTTCATCTCTTTGGCCTGGGGCACTGCCATGGGCCCAATCTTCGACAAGCCCCTTGGCATTGCCTTGGCCAAAGCAAAGGGGCCAAGCACAGAAAGTTGGGCCAAGCATGGCCAAGGTTTGATATGGTTTGATCATTTTCGGCCTCAGGTATCTCTACCTGTTGGGCTCGGGCTTGGCGCGTGGGCCCATGCTTTTTCCTGCCCCTTGGACTACATGAGACGTTGAAAATCTATTATCTAAAAGAGTCAAGGCAGTGCTGCATGTTGGCCAGGGATGGGCAGAGTTTCAGTGGTTTTCTCCTTCTGTTATCCTTTTGGTGGTTCATTTATTGCCGTGACTCATGCTAAAATACTTATTTCCTTCGCTAGAGTCAGCAGATGTGAGATTTTGCGAGATTCGATTGCTGACCTCAATTAACCCAGGTGAATCGTGCCAACTCTTTGGTTGGTGTTGCCGAGAGCGTGTCTGGTATCACAAGCCTGATAGCCACTCTCAAGCATATCATCGCGCATGTTGCATCAACGAAAGTAGGACGGGACCTGACAATGCTGCTGCAGCTGCATAGTGCTTGTGCGATCTTGCATTTGGGCCCCATACAGTATCAAGGAATGTGTTCTGTACACCAAGATTCACCAAACATTTTGGCCCAGGTTAGTTTCAATGCTTTACCGAGGCAGCAATTCCAGTGGGATATGTCGTGGACCGACGGCCGGACCAGCGTGCACACCTTCTCCGGTTGTCGACCGGCATCGCGTTGCTGGCGGTGATTTGTGGAATCGTTGTTGTCGCAACGGACGAAATGATAGTCGTTTTTGTGCCTTGGTTGCGGGCTCTTGTAGCATATTGTTTCAAGATGTTTCAAGCTTCCGTAAATCAAAGCACAACGGGATGTTCCACAGCACCCAGACTTTACCAGACAAGGTGTTATATTATAGAGTGTAGCAGCTGCTCAGCAGAGGAAGAGGTTTTCTTCCTTTGAACTTTTGAGTGGGAATTGGACGCAATTCAATCACAGCGACTCCGCCACGTGAGTTTTGGTGAATTTGCGAGGCAATGCTCATTTGCTTTGGTCTTTTCATGGAGCTTGCTTCAAGCGCTTCAGAGGCCAGGTGGGTATTTGGCAACATCCATGTTCTGAGAATTTGCTCAAATTTCCTGGTCACCCTGCCCAACCACAAGCACAAGCGGAGATAGAAGTTAGAATTATGTGACCACAGTATCCACCCACAATGGTCAACAATGGTCTGAACTGTCTCAAGTCCTGAAATGCTTGGAGTGGACTCAACACTAGTGCCCGCAATGCCAGTTGGGTCAAGAAAGATCCCAGGCAATCTTTGCAGATAGTATTCCTGCTGGCGAGCGTGCTGCGCTTTTTGTTTCTTGACCTCTCACAGCATGCTTTACCACTCTCCAAGTTTCCTGCTTGGTAGAAATGTTACAAAGGTTCAGCTGTCAATGAAAAATCACCATGGATTCAATGGATGTTCATCTTGGAGGCCATGCCGGCCATGCCACCAAACTCAGCTCAGGTGACAAAGTCTGTGATCAGCACAGTGGGTGCAGCATGTGGCCCAGGCATAGCAGCAGTTGGACTGGCGCTGCTGGGTGCCTTGGTCGTTGCCGCATGAATCCAAGAGGGCCTGATCATGGGGCCACAAGAGTGATCTCTTGGCTTGCGGTGTTGTCAATCTGGCTTGTAACCCGTGGCTTGTCGGCCACAAGGTGACAAGTGGGAGCCCTACCAGATCAAGATCATTATGGTGCTTGGCTTGTTGCTGATGCTGCCTACGATTCTCCCTTTGTTCATCTTCCATGACCCGAAGCTTTCCCCGGTAGCCAATGGTGTCAACGGTGCCAGCCCGGAAAGCAGGCAGAGCACAGAGGCGAGGGCTAAAGGGCTTTTCTTTTTTAGTTCTTAGATGTTGGTAGGCTGAGGCAAGCGACCCAGTTGTAGGGTATCATTTTTGTCTGGGTTCCCAGCACTGGGTGGCCCAAGCTGACGTGCTAGGATGCTGAAAGCGCCCAGTCCAGCCCGATCAGTAGAGCACGCTTGAAATGCCTCAACTCCAAGCATGTGCCTTTCATCCTGGCGCTCTCGGACTTTATCACCTGCATCGGTGCTGGCATGACTGTCAAGTTCTTCAATCTATTCTTTATCCAGGAGAGCTGGCAAGAGTGTCTATAGTATCATGATAGGTCATGACAAGTCATTGTTGGAATTGGGAAGAGCTTGTCTGGTATCAAGATTTTCAAATCTTAACAGTCTTAACCCCCCATGATTTGTCCTTTGCATAGCCCACCCCCTGCCGTGCTGCCAGGACGAGCACTTCTCACCAGTTGCCATCAGTTTACTTCAGACTGCCTATCCTTTGGTCATCGCTGGTTTCATGAAAATCACGGAGCGGTTGGCCAAACCACTGGGCCGTCCGCAGTTTGGCAGCCATGGCGCATAGAAGCGCGCATAGAAGCCCATATGTCACCTGTTTCTGTCTTGCACATGTGCATGTTGTACTACCAACGATAATAAAATAACATTAATTGTATATTATTATTGTAACATTTTTTTTTTGCATATTTCTACTATTACCATCATAACTAACTATTATTTTGTTAAAACATTTTTTTTTCTAAAGTTGCTTTTTCCCTTTGACACTGCTAGTACTACTGTTATTGTTATTAATATATTTGTCTCCTTCTTATCATAATCATCAGTATTAGCATCGTAATGATGATGGCTACAATTTCCATACGTATATATGCATATATGCAGGATATATGTATATGTATATATATATATAACTATATATGTATATGTTATATGTGTATATATGCCCCCATATGCTTTAACATGTCTCTGCGGTATGTGTTTCAACAATGGTTGACGATGGCCCGAGGCAAGCATCGCTCACTTTCTTCAGTCTCAATGTGCTGTGTCTCCTTCTGATGGCAGAGGCGCGGATGGGTGAACGAATGGTGGGCCAATGAACTCGTTTGACTTTTTGTTGGGAGATTTGTTTGGCGAGGCTTCATGTTCCATTTTCAATCGCCTGAAACACGTTTTGTTTCTTTTTTTGCCATGTGTGCATGCTTATATGACTTATATACTCTTATGTTGCTGCCGGAACCCACAGGTCCGCTGGCTGCCGGCGTTGTTGCTTGTCTTCCTCGTGAGGGGTGGCATGGCCAACAGTGACTTTGCAGATTTTCAGCAAACGCAACCGTGGCCATGATGGGCGATGACAGCTCACTGAGCCATGTGAGGCACCTATCCGATCGACCGCTCAATCCTGATGGACTTCACACCATCTTCACAGCGCGGCATGTGGAATGCAGTGAAACTTGTTGAGTAAGTGTCTTATGGCGTGTGGGCCTGTAGCCTTTGGAGGTTCTTTTGGCTTTCCGCTAGCTAGTGGGAACATCTCCTGGCCGTAGTTGGAGGATTAGGCTGTTGGCAATTCACATGGTTGATTGCACTGATGATTTCTACATCTATATGCACGTAATTCTGGGAAGGCTATATTATATTCTTATTATATTCATGATGGGCAGCTATATTTGTAGCAGGAGTGATCTCAAAATTCACAAGGAGCAGTCTGACCTCCATGACTTGGAGTGGCAGTGCTTTCCTGGGCGGTGTGCTTTCGGATGCCCGAGACTACAGGTTTCCCGGTGCACAGCGCGGTGGGGTTTTAAAAGGTGGAACTTAGGACCCTGCATACTCGAAGTGATCAGGACTCTTAAGCCATTTTAAGCCATAAGAAATCAGATGCTCATAGATGCTCTCATGAGCGAAGGCATGGTGTTGTAACACATGGAGAGGCAACTCCATGTTAAAGGCCATACTTGGGAGACTAGGAGGAACACATTAGTTGCTGGGAATCGATTCAAAGATATTGGGTAAGGGCCCGCATATTGGAGACACAAACAGGCATTCATGAACTCTACTAGTACTAGCGGTGGGAACAAAGTAAAGAATCCTGAAAGCCATGGGAGAAAGACTCTTGAAGCTTAGGTCCCCAAATCAAGGAGACAAGAATTAGGAAAGCAAGATTAAACATCAGAAAGGATTCCACATGCAAGCTGCGGCACCAAAAGCTTGGAAACTGATGCGCTGGTATTCCTTAGTGAAATTTGGTCATAAGCATGCTTAATGGAACCAACACCTCATCGCCTTCCAGGTATACTTTCCTCATAACAGCCCTAGTGTATGCCTCAGCATGCCTTGTCTACTTGCCGCTGCTATATCTGGTGCCCCGAAAAGAGAAGGAAGCCGCGAATGCGTCGGTCACAGCCTCAGCTGAACCCTGCAACGATGTCAGCGCAAACAACCTGAGACAGTGGAAGCCCTTTGGCCTCTGCACCCAGGTGAGCTAACAGATGCAGTGCCCAGATGGCAGATTTTGTAGTGATCTCGATGGTCTCACAGAGGGCTGAGTACATTTGGCTATTCATTTGACACGAGTTCAAACATGGAAATAGGGGACGTCTTGGGCTAATGTTGTCATGCAGCAATGCTTTCTGTATTGGTACCCACCTGAAAGCGAACATGAATCCCCAAAATGCATCAAAATGCAACTTTCCGATTCCAGCCATTTTTGTGGGGTTCAATGTTCGATTTCAGGGGTTTGTCAGGCATGTATGTTTTCTGGCGCCGTTGTGCTGGTGTGATTTAGACAGCGTGGGGTGACTTCTTGATTTCGCGGGTGGCTTTTTTGGACGTTGTACCATCATGCAGTGGGTTGACTTCCTGCTGCGTGGCATGGAACAGGTCCGCATAGGTCCGCCACTCGTATCAGTGACAATCAGTACAGTGTACAGCTACGCTTGCTTAGCCACACAAGCTTGTGCCTGTAGCATCGAGAAAAAGGTGCCTTGGTGTTTGGGATTCTTGGTTCCCAAGACAGGCAAGCACCGTTGACCGATGATACTGGTGGCTGAACAGACTCAGGTCTATTTGGCAGCTGTTGACCGATGGGGGAATGCGTGCTCCTTCATCAATTCCAATTACATGGGATTTGGCACTGGAATTGTGCCGGTTGCTTGGCATATCATGATATCCTGTCAAGGTGAATTCCTGGAGAACCGATGGTTTTTGTAGAAGTGAAAGGCTGACAGTGCATTTCAGAGGGAAGTGATTGGTGGTAGGTCATTTTTGCTGCTGGTCCTTCCCTGTGTTTGAGGAAGGTTGTGGTTTCACGCTGCAAAACCGCAACTTGATCGGACTTGGTGTACAATAAGATTCGTAGCACACTGGGTGCATGCAACTTTGGGGAAGCCTACACTGAGGGTTCAGGAACATGAGGAACTGTACCGCGTATGGTTTGTTTCAGTAATTATGGTCAGCCTGTTTGTCCTTGCCCGCTTGGCTTCGCGCCCATCCTATCGCTTAGTGCTTGAGAGCTTGACACTGGCTGCTCTATATAGATTAAAACTGGCCTGACAGTCCAAGGTGGGCACAACTTCATTCTGAAAGAAGGCCATCCCAATTGCGTGGGGCCAAGCATCTTGGCTTATTGTGTTCTGTACTTGGTTGCTTATTTTAAACAACCAATCTTCATTTATAGAATTGTATGAAGATGGAAGCATGCAGCTTGATTCACTGGATGCTTGTCAGCTCAGCTTGATTTGTTTTCTTGCTACATCATGATTTGCAGGCAAGTACTGCTACCACACCATCATTCCAGGCATGGTCACGCACGAGGACAGTTCGGGGTGAATGAGAGAGCCGCTGTGCTGGCTCACCGGATCAGCATGGCAGCGGAGTGGAGGTCTGTTGTGGATGTTTGCGGAAGGCATATGCGGCATGATCAGATACTCTCGTCCAAAATGAAGCAGCCTGTTCTCGAATCATCCCGGACACTCCGCTTATTCACTGCAAATATATTTTGTCATTTTTGTCCTTGTCCAGTGATCTACCAACCTTGTAATGTTGCAGCGCTGAAGTGAAAATAGTGGATCCGATGTTTTCTTCACTCCGGTTTTGATGGCACTCTCCCAGACCATCCCAGACCGACTCAGAGCCAGGACAGCAAGGATCTCTTTTGCACCCTGGGCGTCATGGGTGGCTTCATGCAGCCCCAGGGCCACTTGCAGGCCAGCGAACAGATGGCCCAAATCGGGCAACGACCCGCAAACGATCCTGTTTGATTGCAAATCTAATTGTCAAAACAGAATTGTTGGAGCATACCAGAATATTTTATTTGCTCTGCTCAGTTCCAAAATGTTTGCAAGGTGCTTTGTGCAATGGCGGATTATGGCTTAGATCCACAAGCAGCGTTGGACCAGCCGCGTTTCTGCTTGCAAGGCACAGGGTCCCGCTTGCAGGAGGTCAGACGTGTTCAACAAAGCCGCATAGTTCGAAGCAGATGATTCTATGCCCCTCATCTCCAGGGTAATGTGCCAGTGGCACATGAGTTTCCGTGAAAAGAATGAAACACCTGTGAGATTGAAAGTGCTGGAGTTTGTCACTAATCCTATGTCTGGTGGCTTCAAGCGGCAGGTGTGGACAGTGCCATCGGTGCGGAGAGCGCAGAAACTGCACAATTGCTCCTTGAAGAAGGCTTGCCACAAGAGACGCAGGCTGGTTCCGAGAAGCCATCATCTGATTCTGTCTCTATACAGGCTACAAGCTGCTTTTCCGTGTTTGAGAGTTGACTGCCGTTTGGATTTGGTAATGAAACTAGCATTGTTTTGCCAGAGAGATGTGCACATAGCTTCTGGCCAAGCGTGGTTTCTTCATTAGACTATCCAGGAGGGGTTTGGCCCTTGGGTGTATCTCAAAGGTGAAGACCTGGACAACTGGAGTGAGCTATTTATAAATTATATTAAATTATATTGTATTCTATCATTCTATACCTGAATTTTATTTTCGGAAAGGTGGGGGCTGCACAACTGGCAGGATGGCTTGCGTGCTTTGGGCCATGATGTGGTTGTGGTGACTGGCTGGCAACGCCTTGTTTTCGGCCGCGGACAGGTGATTTGCGGCGGCCTGAGGTGAAGCAAGTGGTTGAGTTTCAACAATAAAAATTGCAGGTTTGGATACATCGTGCTGATTCATCCACATTTCGACATGTTTCAAGAAAAAAAATAAATATCATCATGTTCAAGCAGTCCAAGCATTGCTTCCTTTCCGCAGCTGCGTAGCTGTTTGCATTGTAGCCTGCCAGCTGCGCATTTGCGATGGCTCGGCCCAGTCTGCGTCTCTTTTGGGCAGCGGCTGTGGCACTCCCAGTCGTCATCGGCGATGGAGAAATCTTCCTCAGCTTTTCGGCAAACACAGATATTGCAAACAGAGCCCATCTTGGGCGATCGATGTTGATGCATCATGAAATATGATTGGATACATGCCTGGTTCTTGGCAGAACAAGATGCTTTGAGGCTCCAGTTCTTCCACTTCTTCAGCGCCAGTGTCATCTGATTGGACTGCGAGCAATGTAACCTATGACGCCTGGCAGGAAAAAGGCTCTTGAACTGAGTGCTCAGTGATAGACTTGCTGACCCATTCTTGACTTTTGCAAATTTGGCAGTAGGCTCCAACACTTAGCTGTACTGGTACCTGCCTGCAGATGTTCACAGGCAATTGTAATTGGGCTACAAACCAAGGACTGCAACCCATACGAGGGCCAAGAGTTCTTGATCTTCGGCAACGGCAATGGCATCACATCAGGTTCGTGCTATGCCAGCTGGGAAGCTTTGCCATTTAATGGGCTGATTGGGTCATAGGCGCACCTCAGGGACGGGTACCAGACCTTGTTGCATTTGCACACGGAGTCAAGGGTACAATAAGTGACATAGTGGAGACATGTGGCGAGACCTTGTCCATGTCCAGTTTAGCATGGGGTAGGGGCTGTTTCCCTTGTTCATCATCTTGACTTTCTTCAAAAGAGAGAACAATCTTTCAAACAGAGACGGCTCAGGCTTATTCAAGCTGTAAACACATGATTTCCTGCATTTGATGTGTGATATTTGCTCACTTTTGAGGATCCTTCCCAAATGGGCGAGAGGCAAAAAACAGCACCAAACTGAGGACCTCCATGAGATCCAACTCTGGGATGAGATTGGTGTTCAGAGCCTTGGAATGGCCTTGAAATGTTTTGAACATGCAAACGATGGAAAGGATGGAAGGGATATGGCTCTAGATTGCTGTTTCATTCGTGATCACGGCCCTTGGAACCAAGCTTAATTCAGTTTAATTGTTTATTTCTGGTGGTGGTTTAGCTTTGCATGCGGCGACAAATGAAGACTTGCGGTTTGCCTTGGAGTTCCCGAAAGCGATAAACCGGATAAATATCCGTTGACATGTCCATTCTATAATATCTCCATTCTATTAATGGGATATTTATGGGATAATCTCCATTTATGGGATTAATATCCATTTATATATCCCATAAATATCCCATAAATATCCCATTGATATCTCGTTCATGTCCCATATGTCCCCATTGGAGAAGACACTTGGGAGTTGCTCCCTTGAGGATTCAGAATCTGGGAGCCGTTTCCCTCACCGGCTCGGATAGTCACTTGGCAACCTGGGGCCATGATTTGGTTCCATTGGTTTTTGGGTCAATCTGGTGGATGTGGAATTTCCATAACTTTCCCGGTTCGGACTAGCTGAAGAGGGCTGCTGCTGCTGATGATGACGATGATGACGATGATGATGATGATGATGATGATCTCCTTACTCCAATTTTTCAATGTCGTTCGATGACCCCTGCAACCGTGCCTGGCTCCCTGAGATGGCTATGAAGCCTGGAAAGCCGTTGATGGAACCGAGAGTGAGTTTTGGGCAGGCGACCATGATGTAGGCACCCTGGCGGCATTTGGCGACACACTGCAGAGATGGGCGGCAGTGGACATGCTTGGATGAAGTGACTGAATATGAACATGATAAGGCGCTGTATCCGAAGATGGGTCAAAGTCACATGGAGGCCTCCGTTTTTCAACGTTTTTCCCTCATCGCCCTTTCACCCTCTGAGCCACAAGAAGAGGAACAGGGAAAAGGATAAAAAGGGGCGACGCTTCTCCAGCCAAGGCATGAGCTGCAGTTGCTGGAATTCTGGGAAGCTGGACTGACGGATTTTCCTATAGCTGCACGACAGAGTTTTTGAATTTCACATGTAAAAGCGGGTGAGGCCGATGGAAAAGAACATCATTTTCCATGACATTTTCGCAACGGATTGGCAGAGGGATTCAGAGCGACCATGGCTGGGATGCTGGGAAAGCCGCAGGATGGACAAGCAATTCGAATCCAATTGCCGGGCTGGAAGAAAGTCTCCAAGATCACGACTTCCGTCTGCATTTGGTGAAAAAACGGGGAAACTATGGGAAACAACCGACAGGGGGTACCGATTGCTCCAAGTGCGGGATCGCCCGACGTCGTACTGTCACTGCTTGCCCACATGAACTTCTAGAACTTTCAAGACTTCTAGAACGTTTAGAACCTCTAGAACGTCTAGAACTTCTATAACTTCCATCCATCCATCCATTCATGCATGCATGCAGACATACAGTCATACAGATATACAGACATGCAGACAGACAAACACACACACACATTATATATATAGTATTCATTTACAGACACTCACAACCACCCACCCACACAGAGACACACGATCATGCACACGCACACACACACAGATATAATTATATGAATAGATATGTACACGCGCATTCTATACATGCACTTCAGATACGTTCTTGCACAAGAAACTGCAAAAGTATGCCCATACCTTCATCTAGCACCTATTTTTTAAACATATGTGTAGACATAGATACGACATATCCTAAATCTCCGTACTACCTTTGCTCATTTTTATATACATGTCCAAATGGCCAGCTTCTGCTCAAATATGAATATATGACACGCATCCGTTACTGGCACAATTATATGTATATAGCTACAAGAGAAACGTGGCACCAGACCAGAATCTGCATGATGTCAATGGTAATTTCAGGATCCTAAAATGGAGGTACTGTACCATATAAGGCTATATTTTGTGGGGATATTCCCTCACATAGGCCTTACATAGGCCTTATATATGGTAGGTACCTCCAATTTAGGTTCCTGAAATGACCATTGATGATGTAAGATCTCTCAGTGCATCCCGTGTGCAGAGGCTGACGCAAGGTGGAGCTGGTAATGCATGGGCCATTTCTGAGATCCGAATCCACTGCAACTTGACAAACACTTGGCAGTGGTGGAAGATCTCAAAGGCACGCAGGCCAGATATTTTTTTTGGCAGTGGTAGGAGGTTGGGAAGAGGATTGCGTACGATATTCAGACCCGAATCAGCTCGATACGATGTTCATGAGATGTGAAGTTGCAGATGTTCCCCCGACGGTTCAGCATGCATTGCTGAACACTGATAAGGTGGCACCAGCTATCAGTCAAACCCGTTGCGTTCGCAGATTTCTTTCGTCCCTTGCATGCGTTGATACAGCGGGCCATCATAATCCATCTGAGGGAACAGTACCCAATGAGGCTTTGACATCACTTTCATCCTCAATCCTTTGCTTTTCTGCTCGTCATGAAGGTCCAACTTTTTTGTGGGTTCGCAACTACATTCCAAGAATCCTTTCGATGTGTAAAGACATTTGTCCGTCCAGGCTTGATGACATAGCGCATTCTGAAAATTGACATGGCTACTTTAGGGCACATCATTTTAGGTGCGGACGCACCTCCTCATCCTGGGGAACCCGGTGACAAGCAAACTACTAAGGGACCATTTTATAGAAAGAGTTAAGGAGGACGAGGACTGACGAGTGATGGTTTTCTATAGATTTTCAACATCTATCACACTGCTAGAATGCCATGCGCCTTTAAATCAACACGCAGTTTTGTTCAAACGCATGGCTCTCTTATAGAGATAGTACATGGTAGTACCCTGTGGCTCTGGCGGGTCATCCAAGGGCTACACGGACATTGAGTGCAATGACAATGGTTGTCAGACAACTCGCAACTTGATCAGGGTGGCTTTAAGAGAGACTGGGTGAGAGGCGAAGTGTTTCCTATGGCGCGCTCAGCATCTAGGAATTCCCCAAAACCAGGACAAATCTAGACTTTTCTAGCCTTTTCCAGCCTTCTTCTAGCATTTTCTAATTTTTCTAGCATTTCCCAGCTTTTTCTAGCTCAATCTAGTTTTTAGTGGTTTTCCTGTAGCTAGGCCGAAAATTGGGAAGGGGCAAGCCCGGTTCTCAAAATTTTCCACAAAGGGTCCGGCCGGGGAAAAGAATAGCGTTCCGTTTAGTTTCTCTAGTTCTTGCTGGTTTCCATCGCGGGCTAGCATTTTCTGAAACAGCCCTCTTTGAAACAATACCAGATGTGCCACCATGATTTTTAAATGGACACTGCAATGCTCCTGACATTCGCCCTCCCTCTTCCTTACTCCCACTTTGACTCTTGTAGCCTCGGGTTGTTGAATTGAATCGCAACTATCTAAACATATCCAAACCCAGATTCTGTAGCCCATATCCAATCTAGGCATCCTATGTATGGATTTCTATGGTATTCTAGTGCAATCCACTTTGGCCGTTGCATATTCTATGGCACTGTAGCCCGTTTCGGAGTCGGTTGCCTCGAGTCAGGCATGGACCCTGCCTACTACCACACATGTAACATGGTGTCGAGAGCGTCTTCATGTTGCCTCATTATGACCGCGCTTTTGCTGGGCTGCTCGGCTGTTTTCTGGTGAAAGACGTAGACTCCGTGGACGTTTGGTTTGGCCGAGTGTGGCCAAAGAGATTGGCCTTTATAAAGAGCAATGGCACGTGTTGGTAGCATTTTGTAACTGGACCTTCCACCTCAGGACTAGGTCTCAGTTGATGGCCTCAAGGACCAACCTTCGGTGTGGGTGGGTTTGCTCAAAGATGCTTTAGCTAATTTGTGGCATTCCTTTGTCCATGCGATGTTACTTTTGAAGATGTTCTGAAGTACTGCCAGTACTGCAAGGAAGTTTTTGTGAGTTGTGCAGATTGTGCAGCTTCACTGGCCATACT